ATGCAATAGTAGAGATTCACAACACCAGCATCCCTGCATATCACCTCAAAGGCATTGGGATCCATTTCTGGTTGGGAAAAATTACCAATGTGAGACTTGATTTTTCTAAGATCATCACTGAAATTTCTTGAGCAGTGAAGAATATTCATCTGCAGAGAGAAATACACTGTCAACTCTTTGGCACTCTTTGTCTGCAACATCCAATATTTTTCCTGTATAAAAATCTTGACTGTCTATGGTATTTGCTTGGCTGCATGGGTGTTAAAGTTATTGTTGTTGTGTCACTTGTTTGGCTCTATGATGCTTCTTGGCTAAGTGCTTGATCTTCTACATTATGTTGACTTTCAGCAACCTTATCAGTGGTTATAATTATATCACCGGCCTAGCTATTAGATTGTTCTTGCTTCTCATTCGATTTTTTGCTGGATTCAAGGTGATGAATGGATGTAGTACCAGTACATTCAGGATTAACATGCATCTGCAGCAGAGTATAGTAAAGTACAGTAAGTTAGCTATAATTATTATATTAATTTACCATAATTAACATGTTGGAGGGTGGAAGGGAGGTGTATAGGATTACTTATATAATTTTATATTATAATGAATGTAACTCTCAATTTAATTATAATACATATGGAGGTAGTGCCCATTCCTGGGTACCATGCCATTATGCCAATTTCATTTAGAAATATTGTGTGAAGCCTAGGCACCAGAAAAAGTGCCAGCACAATTGCCGGGCACTCAATCAGAACACAGCCTTAATTCCTCAAACTTTATCTGAATGCCTAATCTTAATTATATTGTGATCTATGATCAAGTAAATTGTAAATTATTTGTGATGCTACTAATTGTAACCTAGTAGTGTAATGTAGTAGGTAGAGAGTAAGGTGGGCGAAGATGATGGGGAAAAGGGGAAGGAATGTGTGGGGGATGAGAGTTATAATTAAATTATAATTAAATTGAGAGTTACATTCATTATAATATAAAATTATATAAGTAATCCTATACACCTCCCTTCCACCCTCCAACATGTTAATTATGGTAAATTAATATAATAATTATAGCTAACTTACTGTACTTTACTATACTCTGCTGCAGATGCATGTTAATCCTGAATGTACTGGTACTACATCCATTCATCACCTTGAATCCAGCAAAAAATCGAATGAGAAGCAAGAACAATCTAATAGCTAGGCCGGTGATATAATTATAACCACTGATAAGGTTGCTGAAAGTCAACATAATGTAGAAGATCAAGCACTTAGCCAAGAAGCATCATAGAGCCAAACAAGTGACACAACAACAATAACTTTAACACCCATGCAGCCAAGCAAATACCATAGACAGTCAAGATTTTTATACAGGAAAAATATTGGATGTTGCAGACAAAGAGTGCCAAAGAGTTGACAGTGTATTTCTCTCTGCAGATGAATATTCTTCACTGCTCAAGAAATTTCAGTGATGATCTTAGAAAAATCAAGTCTCACATTGGTAATTTTTCCCAACCAGAAATGGATCCCAATGCCTTTGAGGTGATATGCAGGGATGCTGGTGCTGTGAATCTCTACTATTGCATAAACAGTGCCATATGTTCTGACAGAATGTCCACTGAGCGTGAAAAAACATCTTAGCAAGCTCCGAACAATGGTTATTATTTATATCATGGTGTTTTCATTGTCCCAAAGATCCAACTCATTCCAAGTAGCATTATCCAGAACTGAAATGAAAACATGAGACGGAAAGGAGAATCCTGAGAAGAAACCGACATTATTCCCCAAATAATTTATCGGGTTTAACGATATATTGCAGCCATAGAGCGCCATCATTGCAGTAATTCAAACGTCGATATTTCACGTTATGTTTTGAAATTTAAAAAACCCCACGGCAAAATTCAAGATATATTTATGTTTTATTGCATTCTTTCGGTTTCGAATATAAAAAGTAAATATTCTGGCTCACGGATGCCTTAGAATACGGCAATATTTTCTCGCTCCTTTTGTTTACAATTTTTATTTTCAAGCATTCTGATTGGCGCAGAGCAAAAATGTCAACAAACGCGCTGATTGGCTTAGAACGAAATCTGCCCTTGTTGATGTGATGGGAAAACTCGCTTCATCAAAATCGTCTGGCTGGCTACGCTACTGTTCAGCATTTATCATGATCAGTATTATTTGACATTTCACATAAAGGGATTGCAATATGATGATGCACGCCTCTACATTGTTATGGAAATAAAACCTACAAAAGTTTGTTTTGAAATTGAGCAGGTGATGCGTGACAAATTTACAAATTTCTTGCCACGTCCACGAATCTACACTCCTGTAACCAAGCAACGAAAAATTGCATAAGGCTTATCTAGATGACAACGTTGGCACGTCTACAAACCGCATACAATTAATACGTTTTAGTCGGTAATGCCGTAATGGGTTCTTCTCAGCATTGTCAAATTGATTTTGTGAAAGTGTTAGTTGACACTATTGTCCATTGATATTGATATTGATATCGACGAAGCAAGAGCTGCTGCAGAATACTAAACAAAATATATGGCGATTACTCGCAACCGTGCATTACAAATTATTGTACTAATTTTTATAAAGTATATACATAGCTATATATAAACAAAATTTGCCAGATATTTTGTGGTGCTTGACTGGTGAGTACTTAACTGTTTCCTGGGAATTTATTCTTTTCGTTAAAGATTCCTTTTAGTGCTCAGAATCGAATGATGTCGAATGATTGTTATATTATTTAATAATTATTCAGCAGGTATTTCCGTCAGTATTTCTACTAACCCGCGACGAGGATGGCTTTATGGCGAAAACATCGTTTTATTAGTCTGCAAGAGCAGGACGGCAATGATACCCTGGCTGCAGGGACTCAGTTTATCGTCAAACGTGTTGGTTCGACGTGTGTCGAGAACCCAGACACAACCGGTAGCTCGGAGGAAGAGATGAAAGAATTCTACAACAATCTGTTAGAATTATTCCACTGTGAACGCGGGTGTAAATTGAGGCTAGTTGTGGACATAAGCGGTGCGTTGTTGTACGACAAAGACGGAGATTTGCTGCAAAGATTTGAATTGTCACGTATACGGGATGTCATATATTCGACGACGAAGGAGCAACACTCTCGGTATTTCATCGTTGTTGCACAGGAAGAGAGCGAACTAACTGTTAAAGCTCATGTATTGTTATGCGAAGATAAACACAAAGCCAAATTGTTATACGACACATTCATCGAAGTGTTTACGTTGGGTTCTGAGATGAGGAAATGTCGGAGGCTGATCAGTGATAATAGTGCACGTGATAGCATTGTCCAGCAGAAAACTAGATTAAAGAGCGAACCGACTAACGGCGGCAGAGAAAGTACAAGAGGTGCAACAGGTGGTGTAAACCAACATAAGTTGCATGGCAAAACATTGACACAATCAAAACAGGAAGGAGTTGAGAGTCAAAACGATAGCTTTACAAAGCTTGCTCGATCTCGTCATTCTAGTAATACCTCCTTGAAATTAGATGCTGGAGATATGAACGCTAATAACATAGTTTCAGAGCACTTTGACGTTTTCTTGTAAAACGTCTTTGAAGAGCGAGCAAATATTATTCATGGCATGTGCAGTGATAAAATGTAAAGAATCTGAAATACGGCATAGAATTATAAATACTTTAGTGCTTTAATTACACCTTAGTTAATGCAAGAGTCCACGATAAAAAATAGAATAGGTAGCCGCGGATATTTTTTTAAGTATGTTGTACTAATTCTTTAACTCTACAAAAGGTCAAGTGGCCGATCTAATAAAAGCTAGTTTAAAGAGTCCATCAGCATTATAATTTATTATAAGCTCCAAAGTCGCGTTAATTTCTTTAATGGTGGAGGGCACAGGGCCTTGCGCCCAGTTGTTTTGCTTATAGCAATAGATGGTGTGCTATAAGCGCGTGTGGCTAGCTAAAAAATGGTATAACTTATGTACACGGGAGAGAAAAGGCTATTCGTGCTCAAAATAGGCCGTTTACGGAGATCTAGAGGATTGGAATTTGAAAGAAATTGTATCCGTACCAACGATGGCGGTGCCTCGCAACCTCTTACCCGGCGCTTCTAAACGCTAACGAACTTTCTGCAGGCTATATCTAAATATTGAATATTGCATGATTATACCCGTATAGAAACGTCTGACAGGTAGAAAAGACTTTTAAAAGATTTTTTAAAATACTTTGAGCAAAATCTTTTCTACACGGTGGTGATGGATATTTTAACTTGTGAACAAGTTTTTAACATTGACCGATGAAACAGAACTCCAACCTGCATATGACTAGAGCGGCAATGAAAAAAAAAATATCATAATATCATTTTATGATATATTATTTTGTAATTTTAATATACCTCAATAGGTACATACTATGTTTTCCATGGGTTTAGGTTACAAATTAGGATTAGATTTCGGGTTTGAAATTCAATTTAGCATGCATACATGTAAATGAAACTGGGGTGTCGTATGGCTCTCTGTAAGTAATTCTACCCACGCAGTGATATCAACCAAAAGAGTACTGACTCCACACTCATGTTACCTCGTGCTTTCACTTGTCTCGGTACAGAAAGGCAATTGACCGTGTACATTTTACCAGAATGCATTGCAGGCATTAAGAATGATTGACTGAAAAAAGATTGTAAGAAAAACTCCTAATGACGTGAAATTTTAACACAGCGAAGAAAATAACTTCCTGCTTTATGCCTGTCCTTTAAAAGACGTCAGTTCGCTTCCTTAAACGATTTCCGACCGCAATGCATTCTGGTAAAATGTACATCCACAATCTTTTTTGTTATGGTCAATTGCACATAATTTGTTTAGTATATGTGACAATAGAAATGATATAAGTAGCTAATAAGGTAAATGATTTGAGCTGTAGTAGCATATTTTAGAGACACTCTAAATATTTCTGGTTGCAAATGGATCATATTATCAACAGAAAGTGAAGAAAATTACACAAATTGGCAAAATCGTTTTACTTCTTCTTTCCCTTTTTCCCTTTCCCTCCTTTTTTCCCCTTTTTGACCTTCTTCTTCATTTGTTTCCTGACACGATATCCTCTCCAACAGGCTTGAAGTCTTATGGCTGCGGCGGTTTGCCTTTCAAACTCTGCCTTTCGCCGTTCTTCTGCTTCCTCGGCCAATCTCCGTTCTTCAAGAATGTCCAAATATTCCTTTTCCAAAACGCTGAAATGCCGTCCCAAGTCGTCTAGGTCTTTTCTCAAGTTATCTCTTTCAATCAACACTTCGTCGTATTCGTCCTTAACATAACACAAATTTGCATGAAACTCTGATTGATCAGAGGAACCTGAGGATTTTCCAATTTTGTGATGAATAACTATCTTGATAAACTCCTTGCACTTTCTCATTAACTTAATTGCGAGATCAAAGTACTTTAGCAGGCCCTCAAATTGTCTTTTACTTGTAAGATCAGAGTATGTTTGTTACAATATGATTTAATGAATACGTAAAAATACAGTGATTGTTTGCAAAATAAATTAATTTCACAGTGCTATCGGAATAATTTGTCTGAGAAACTTTCTCCCAGCCAAGCCTTTCAACAGGCTGCTTTGAGGCGCGATAGTAGGGAGCCGTTTAGCAGCAACCACGGGTACGACAGGCTACGAGTAGGAGATTCGTCATTCTCGCGAGTTGTTGGCTTACACGCCATCAGCGAAAACTCGTAGTCGTCCGGTTTTTGAGTACGAGTTTGTTGGCAAATATCGTACTCGAAAGCCCAACGACTACGAGTTTTGGCTGATGGCGTAAGCAAACAACGCCCGAGAATGACGAATCTCGTACGCGTAGTCGCTGCCAAAGAATATGCAGATTTAGCTCCAGGACGCGAACGTCAAAGAGGATGTGAGAATGGCGAATAAATGGCGTGATACGCCTATTTATTTTTTAACTCTGTAAATGAAGCAATCTGATTGGCTGGGAAGCGTTTCACAGCGGGCCGGAATTTTGCATCCGGCCTGCTGCAAAATGCATCCGGCCCGCTGTGAAAAATGCAAGCAAAACGACAAAACCAAAGCAACGTACGGCTAAAATGTGTGAAAACCTTTCTGGAAAAGGCTAAATGAATGTTAAAAATAAAAAACATACCCGAAAAACTTCTTTTTTTGGATTTTTTACGCTTTTTTTCGCTTGTCAATACGTTGTTTTTTTAATCGATTCGCCGTGATTTAGTTGCTATGGTAACAATATTTGCCATTTCATTGGCTGTTTCCCGACTAGGATATCCTTATAAGGAGTTGTTGACGTATTAAAATTCTAAAATGGCTTGCAGAATTTAAAATTTTTATAGTTTATTCATTAAATTTGTTGTATTTTTTGTGTTTTATAAAGTCAAAAAAGTCAAGGTAAAAAAATAAACACGTTATTTACCGGCAACTTCGGTGCGGATGCAAAAAACTGTGCCCTCGGTCTCAAAAACATCCCTCGGCCTACGGCCTCGGGCCGTTTTCGAGACCTCCGGCACAGTTTTTTGCATCCGGACCTCGCAGCCGGTAAATAACATATATATATGGACATGCCACGCAATTTATTCGCCATTTTCACGTCCTCTTCGACGTTCGCGTCCTCGAGCTAAATCTGCCTAATGTCGCTGCTAAAACTCCCTACTAACTTGATGAATGAAGTGAGGTTGACCCCAGGTTAACGCTGTATCTTTCTCCATCTACCGTTGTAAAGGAATCCTTTTTATCCATTCATACATTACCTGGCGCATTCCCATATCATTATCATATTTCTGAATCCAATTAAACACTTCAGTAGACAACTTAAATTTCCTCTGAAAGGTGTTATTAAAGAGATAAATTAAAGATGAAAATTATATATCAACCTGTTAACACAAAGATTACAAAAAAGTTAAAAGTTCTACATCTTTGGCTTACTGTAAAAAAATTGTAAACATGTGTAGGTAGTTTTTAAGTCTTTCGAACACTTTCTGTATAAAACATTTTGGGTTTGTTTTGCAAAGAAAAGGACATTTTTAGAATTCCATTTTAGGATGGCTCCGAACAAAAATGGGGACAGAAAATGCATATGACAATGAGTGCGCGTACGACAGAAGACAGTTCTGAACACATTCTGAGCATTGGACTAGCAAGCCAAAACCCGCGGGTTCGATTAATTAGTTCAGATTTACGAAATGTTCAACTTAATGCATGCTGTATAACATCTAAAAATCCCAAAGCGTATGGCCTATAGGTACAATTTTCGAATGAACCTCCCTTACTCAGGGGGAACTCAAGGGTGAAACTAGGAAAATAATTTGGGAGGGGGCCGGGGGGAGGTATTGAATTTTCATATATTTCGTTTTGCCCTACTGATTTCTTTTGTACGCATACGTGTTTTCAAAAGAAATCCATCGGCCAGAACAGAATATACTGCTGATTCTGCTTCTGATTCCGCTCACAAACGTGTACCTTTCTCTTTTCACGTTCGTCTTCATAGTTATGACTTAACCTTTCACCAAATGTTTTTTTCTCGTCAATAATCTGTTGTGTGACAACCTTTTGCTTCGCATCACTCTTTTTAACAACAGATTTAATTTTTTGGCTTGCGTCTGTTAAGATTTTCGAGCTTTCTTTGATGGCTGTTTCGTTCAAAGATCGCAACGCTTCCTTAAGTTTTTCAATAATTGCGTTTTGTTTTTCCTCCTATAGAAGGTATACGAAACTTAGTATACGTATGTGAAAGTATGCCTGGAAAGATTTTTTATTGCGATTTCTAGTTATGAAAGTATATAGTACACTTATTAGGTAGTGTCGCAGCTCCTCGCAAGAATGATTTTCATTGGCTAAACTTTACAATACATTTCTGTCTCAACCAATAGCATAGCTTTGTTCTATACAAAGCATAGAAAAGCATTATCGAATTGGACGAAAGTTTCCGAGAGCTGCGACATGTTCCCACTTATTTCGAAGGATTTTGAGTTTTGGTGCTAAAAATATTCTTTTTGAAGTACCTCTTCATTCTTGATTTTTATTTGCTGTTCGTAATCTACTTGAAGTTTTTCCTTGATTTTCAATATCATGTTTTCTCGTTGAACAACTTTTGCGATGTAATATTTTCTTTCTTCCAACTCTACAGGTGTTGTCAACAGCTTTTCGCGCACGATCATTTGCAAATCCTTCAGTCCCTTGACGAAATTTTCCTTAATTCCAGATAGGCTGTTTGCTTGTTCTGTAAAAGTAAAGAGAGTTATCTAATTAAATAGTATAAAATTCCACATGCAAAACAGGTGATTTTTGGAGGATTCAATACAGATCATTCGCATCGAATGTGATCTATTTTGTATAATAGACCCTTTTCATCATAGCTACGTCGCAACATTACTGCTTTAAATTTATAGAACCACCTTAAATGCGATGGATTTTAAGTTTTACACTCACGAGCCACGTGCAAAGATACAAAACATCGTTCATCACCACGTGCGTGAAAAAGAATAAGTGTGGAAATAAACTGTAACACTAAAACGAGGCTACCAGGCCAAGACCGGGAGTCTCGTTCTTGCGTAATGTTTTATTTCCACACTTTTTCATATGTCAAAATGAGAAAGTTCGTTTTGGTTTTGGCAAAAGTTTAATAGTTTAGTACTAGGTACGTTTGAAGCTGCACATGAAAGAATGCACCGCTTCACTAACTAATATTTGATTTAGGTGACTAATTCACGTTTTTATTGTCGCCATTCTAATTATTTTTATTTCGTTTTTCATTTAATTTGCTTTATGAAGTGGTAAAACTTGATGACGACTTGCAACACACAAAACATTGTAATTATAAATTATTCCTGAAATCATTCAAATAGTAAATTAGAATGACGTTTATCCGCGTGTGAAAGTTTCAGTTTGAAAGATTTATTTGAAAAGTATTACCACATATATTTCACCATAAAGTACATGCAGCAAAAGGTTTTAGCAAGATCTACTGTACCTATCACAGCTTTTGTTGCAGTCGGGTCAGACCTGAACTTCCGAAGAATATTCTTTACAGAATACGTCAGTTCATTCGCTGTTATGACAACATTCTCGCGTAAAGTTGTCATGCTTTGTCCGTTCACTCGAACAACAAATTCGTCTTCTTTTTGACCAGATTCACTTTTTGATTCAGAACTTGACTCACTGAACAAATCCCCTTGTTTTTCATTCATTTCTAACCATTCCTTGTACTCGGCTTCCAACTTCTTACCCTGCTCAAGTTGTTTAACATTATCATCGTATTTTTGCCTTAAAATTTCATGTTCCTTCAATAACACGAATAATTCCTGCCCGAAAACGATGCTAAATCTCTCCAAAGATTTGATTACCTAATAATTAGATCAACAACCATTTTAGACCTTGGTATATTATCCAGGTCATGAGGTATTCCTCTTTGGTAATAATATAGAAAAGTATAAAAACAATGTTTCTTCTCAAAACGAGTTCCACCAACATAGCTTTTTATCAAGGTATATAATAATCTAAATTTTGATATAGTCGAGAAAGTATGTCTTGGCATTTTAGAATTCGAAAACTCGATTGCATGGGATACTGTACGAATTGCATGATACAAAATTTATGAAACTGCTTCTCCGAATATATTATATAACAAATGAACAACGAAAAATAAAAACATACCTCAGGTAAAATTAGTACAATCTGAACATTCTTTATGTTTTCTTCCGATACACGGAGAACGCGTTCTGCTTTGAGAGATGTCAGTCTTTTCCTGTTCGGTTCCAAGATTCGTAAAGGATTCGCGTGATTCCCTTTAGGTAATTGCACTTGCACTTGACAGGCTGAGCGTAGTTGGGATTTTACCCCTTGTGGAAGAAACGAACGTCTTCCAATTTTTTTCATCACGAAAAGCTGCCGTAAACAAAAGTATTCGTCGGATTTTCGGCGCGCGCCTGGATTACTCTTGTTTACGTTAACTAATTGAGCACGCGCGTCTTGTGATGGATTAAGGGGATACTCGAATTCACCTTTTCGCACGAAAATTACGCTGCCCCATATTTTTAACAGACGATGCTTTGAACTTGGAGGGTATTTTTCCTACCAGTAACACGTCTGCGAAGCAGGCTCTGAGGCCGGCTGCTTCATTATTTTTCTTGTTCGGAGCATCGCAGATTTCATGCAGGAATAGTATTGAGACGGAACTGAGGAACAAAACACGGTCACGTGGATGAAAGTTGTCACGTGGAACTGTTTTCAACTGTTCTTAAATCTTAACTGTTCTCGTGATGTTACATGTCAGCCTGTTTTCAAAAATTCGTCATCTATAGACGTTTATTTTTCTGGTATGTGCATGACATAATTGTTGGAGATTTAAAGTGGCAGAAAAGTACATTTAAATATGAAAATAAAACCTTTTTTATGCTGTGTAATTATGAGACAATTTGGCCGCGCACATACATTACGCGGTCGATCAACAATTACCCAGGCAGGCAATTTTGCCTTTCTAACGATAACGAATATGCGCTATTTTGGGGGTACTTTCTTGGGTACTGTGAGCGTAAGCGAAATTTATTCTTCAAATGGTCTGCGGATTCTAGAAAAAGTGCTTTTCTTGTTGTTATAATTATTTAAACACATTTCATAAAATTGAAAAAAGGATCCCAAAAATGCTAATTTGACATGCAGACCGACATGCACAGATTTAATACTCTATTAAATAGTAAGCACAAACTGCATGTATAACTGACGATAATGTCACTTAATTACCCGGAAACCACCCCTAGGCGGGGACTACGAATTCTCTCGTGCCGCCAGTGCGTTCAAAAAGATTCTCCCGTTTCACCCAGCATTGAACCATCCAACAGGATGGTTCAGTTTGTTTATGTTGAGTAGGCCACTCTCCCAAAACCTAGAACCGAATATCAAAGAAGACGTTTTACGTTCAAAACGAGTTAAACCAACATAGTTTTTTTACCAAGGTAAAAACTTAAATTTTGACATAATCTTGACGTAGTCTTGACGTAAGACTCGATTGCATTGGATACTGTATTGCATGATACAAAATTTATCAAACTGCCTCTCGGCCATATTTGCATATTATGACCCATGTGACACACTATAACCGAAAGAAATTACCCAAAGAAAGTAACCTAAAGAAATTACCGTTTTTGGCTGTCCGTATGGTGATTATTCAACACTTATTTAAAGTGCCTATATCACTTGTGGGATCTTTACGGATTTTAATAGAGCTTGAAAAATTAGTTTATAAGTCCTACAACCCTTTTTGATATAGTTAAATAGTTTCGGAAATATTTACATCTAAACATGACGATTTGCCTAAATTCCGTCGTGTTCGGGGGCCTGGGACTCAGGGACCGAGTTCTTGTCAAACCTAATATAATCAATTGTAATTTTACTTCGATCTTCAAATAACGTAAAATATTTTAAGAAAAACCAGCCCAGTTGCTACAGCCATACACTGCGCACCGTTCCCGCATTTTTTTCTTGAAAAGCGCAAACAATATCGCCAGTGAAACTTTTCATGTTTACATTATAAAAGACGGCGTGTTTGCAAATCATTCCTGAGTCCCAGTCCCCCCAACCGACGTATTTTCGAAACTATTTAATTATATCAAAAAAGGTTGTAGAACTTATAAACAAATTTTTCAAGCCCTATTCAAATCCGTAAAGATCCCACAAGTGATAAAGGCACTTTAACGCGACCGAAGGAGTCATTGTGTTTTGTGGACCCGAGACGAAGTCGAGTGAAATATGGACCGGTCGAGTTTTTATTATAAATAATTTGTCAAAGAAACCCCAAACAACAAGGTAAGCAACGATATAATTTATTCAAATAATTTGAAATGGAATATCAACGGGCAAAAGTTCACATGTCCACGTGCGCCACACGTCATTACAGTTTCATATTCCCCATGAAGTAACGCCTTTTCTCCCCCTACAAGGAGTTGAGCGGGCGACATCAGAATTTCGTCAATCTCATGTGATTGGCTCTCGACCAATAAAACGCTAGTAACACTAAATTTTGACAAGTGGATATAATAATCAAATTCAATTTCGATTCATAAAGATGCTGTGGGAGACTGGCGCTATTAATATAGGGTTATATAGGTTTTCAATTGCACGTGACGTCAGAAACATAATTGTAATTTAAGACGAGGGTGTGGGGAGTTAAAGCAGTGTGTGTGATAGTAAAGTGTGATGTGAGCAGCCCGTGCGCTGATTGGGATTTTCTGTTATTTAAATACATATTATAAAAACTTGTGATTGTGTCGAAGATTACATATTGGCGAAGGCAACATTTTCGACATAGTGGTACCTCCGACGGGATAGCGTTACCGTCTAGTTGAAAACACATTTTCTGGGGAAGCGTACAACGTATGAGAGTATGGGAACCGTGGACTTGGATACGAAGTTGACGCAGTTAAAGATTACAGTAGAAAGAACGAATAACATACTGGACTCAGGTAAGAGAGTAACCATTAAACGGCATCTTGAGACGATACAAGCTATTGCGAAGGACGCAAACCAGTGTAAAAACATTGTTGAAGCGACAAAGATTGCCGAGAAGGCAGAACTCTCTGAAATTAGCGAATGGAGTAATGAGATTGATGCTAAGCTTGAAGCGGCAGACGCAACGGTGACTAAGCTTGAGGAATGGCTCGCGAAAAATGAGCAGGCGCAAAAGCTTGTAGCTCAAGAAGAGCAATTTAGATTCGAAATGGAACTGCATGAGAAACGTTTAAAAATGCAAGCAGAACTTGCCAAAATTTGGTCAAACTACCAAAGTTGGTTATCGCGAAGTTTGAAGGTTCATTTATGGATTGGCCCAGGTTCTGGGGCCAATTCACCGAAGCTATCGACAAAAGCTCTATCGCTCCGATAAGTAAATTCACTTATTTATGCGAACTTCTCGCTCCGAAAGTTAAACGTTGTGTAGAAGCCCTCCCATTCACACCCGAAGGTTATAACCGCGCAAAGGCTGTTTTGCAGGACAAATACGGCAAGGAGCCCGAGATTGTTAAGTGTTATGTCAAGGAAATTCTAGATTTACCACAAATTCCTAGTTCCAATTCGCGTAAGATCTCAGGGTTTAGTGACACGTTATCACATTGCGTGCAGGCGCTTGAGACTATGGGCAAGCTTGACCAAATAAGCGGCAATGTCTCTATGACCCTGGAGAAATTATCCGGAATTCGGGGATATTTGGTCCGAACTGATCCAGAATGGGAAACGTGGGACTTTATTAGGTTAACTGAGGCCATACGACAGTGGGTAAAACGAAATCCAGTTACGTCAAGCGAGAGAGATCGAGACGATAATCGAAAGAAGTTCTTTCATGCTCGAAGCGACGAATACAAGCCTAAGGGTTGTGTATACTATGGGGACCCGGGGCATAAAGCTAACCAGTGTACTAACGTGACAACAGTAGCTGAGCGAAAAGCGATTCTGTCCAAGAAAAGGCTGTGCTTCAATTGCGCGACAAAAACGCACCAGACGAGCGACAAAGAGCAGAACGAGAAAAAGTTGATGACAGATGGAGGAAGTGGTGATGGCATTTTTCCGGTTGTTGTCGTGAAAGTCAATGGCGTTACTTGTCGAGCATTGATTGATTCTGGCGCCGGTGGCTCGTACGCGTCTGCGAAGTTAATCGAAGCCCTAAAGTTGAAACCAAACGAAACGAGATTGCAACGAGTCGACATGTTAATGAGTACGAAGACCTCACGAATGGAGATGTATGATACCTCGGTGTCCTCGATCGACGGAAGCTACGTCATGAACGTGAGATTGACGAAGGTCGGTAAAGACGAACTATTATCTATCAATAATCCGGGATACGACAAGCTAATTAAGCGTTATCAACACTTGAACGCAGTACAGATAAACGACAGCGACACGAAGAAGGAATTTCCGATTCACGTCATACTTGGAAGCGGGGAGTACTCTCGAATTAAGACCAGCACCAGGCCCCTCGTAGGAAACGATTGCGAACCAGTGGCGGAAAAAACAAAGCTCGGGTGGTTTATCATGAGCCCTGGGGTCGAGTTCGACAAGAGTACGATGCTGCTGACCCAGACATCGCAGGCCGATTTTGAGGATCTCTGTAGGTTAGACGTGTTGGGCCTTGCAGATACAATGGAGAATGACCAGGACCTTGTGTTTGGCGACTTCAAAGAACAACTTGTCAGAAATCCGGGGGGTTGGTACGAGACGAACCTACCTTGGAAGCCCAACTATCTACCTCTACCAACTAACGAGACTGGAAGCCTGCGGAGACTAAACAACTTGATAAAGCGACTAAAACGCGACGGAGATTATCAACGTTACGACGACATTATCACGGAACAACTTGAGCAAGGAGTCATTGAACCAGCGCCAGCGAATCCTACAGGCAACGAGTTCTACATACCACACAAGGGCGTAACGAAGAACACAGCCGAAACAACCAAACTTAGGATTGTATACGACGCCTCGGCAAAGGAATCGAACGACAAGCCTTCGCTGAATGACTGCTTACACCCTGGCCCTCAACTTCAGAACCTACTCTGGAGCGTTCTTGTCCGGTCGCGATTCTACCCGGTACTACTCACCAGTGACATCCAAAAGGCGTTCTTGCAAGTGAGGATTAAAGAACATGAACGAGACGCATTGAGATTCTATTGGAAGGCTCCTGAAAACAATGAAGTTCGCGTTTACAGATTCACAAGGGCGTTGTTTGGGTTGACCTGTTCCCCTTTCCTGCTTGGTGGTGTTATTCACGAACACTTAAAGATGTGGGAGGGGAGATACCCAGATGTGGTCAAAGAAATCCGTGATGGGCTGTATGTAGACGACCTCATGACGGGGGGTGCAACTGTTGAAGAATTCAACGATAAGAAGATGAAGACAAGCAAAGTTTTCGAAGACGCCACACCTTTAAACTGCACAAATGGCACTCTAATGTCGAAGATCTTGAAGAAAGGACACCAGTGTTGACACATGACGGGGAAGAGACGACCTTCGCGAAGCGGCATCTCGGAGTCGAGCAAACGGAAACGAAATTACTTGGCCTACCATGGGACAAGAAGCGAGATACACTCAGCGTGGTGGTAAACAAGAAGAAGTTCGCGAATACCAAAAGAATAGCTCTCTCTCAACTGGCGAAGGTTTACGATCCGCTCGGCTTGGTATCACCTGCTACGGTTGTTGGAAAGATGTTGTATCGCGAAATCTGCGAAACCCATCTTGCGTGGGAAAGTGAACTCCCAGAGGAATTGAAGAAACGTTGGATGAAATGGCACTCGCAAATGCCAGAACACTTCTCGGTTCCGCGATCGTTAGTACCACGTTATCAACCAGTGTTGTCAATATCAATCCATGCATTCGGAGATGCAAGCAAGAATGGGGTGTCTGCCGCCGTGTATGCCGTGGTTGAACAGCAGGAAACGACGACACAAGGGTTAGTGTGTTCCAAGTCTCGACTGGCGAAGCGTGATCTTACGATTCCACGTTTGGAGTTGGTAGCAGGGCATATGGCGGTCAATCTTGGGTCTAATGTCGAAAGAGCAATTGGCATTGAGAAGGTATCCGGGGTACATTGCTGGTTAGACTCCACCGTGGCATTGTACTGGATCAATGGCCAAGGCGAGTACCGTCAATTTGTCGCCAACAGACTGAAGAAGATCCAAGAGCACGAGCGCGTTAAATGGCACCATGTTCCCACTCACGAGAATCCAGCAGATCTTGGGAGTCGTGGGGGAACGATCGACGAAAACGAGTTTTGGCAGCGTGGACCAGCATGGCTTAGTGATCCAAGCAGATGGCCCCCGCAAGTCACGCTCACAGCCAACGAAAGGGTGAAAGAGGAAGCGAAACGAGAGCGGAGTCCCCAAGTCCTGACGACATCTAATAAATCTGCAGATAGTTTCGACGAGCTAATCAGCAAATTCTCCTTACGGAAAACCCTGAGAATGGACCTTTTGCAGAATAGACCAACTTTTGAATTAGGCAGCAAAAAGGAAATTTCCGAAAAGTGCAAACTAAATTTAGTAAAATTAACAAGTTTGGCTGCAAAATATTGTAAAGTATGGAAAATATAGCCTTGCGAAGTTGCCAATTTTGTATACTTTTTTACTACGGCTGGAAGCGTGTAACTAATTTAGTTACACGCGTCCGGCCGTAATACAAAAGTATACAAAATTCGCCAACTTCGCATGGCTATATCTGCGGCACTTTACAATATTTCACACCAAAACTTGGCAATTTTACTAAGTTTTGTATGCTCTTTTAGGAAATTCCCTTTTTGTCACCTGAATCAAAAGTTGGTCTATTATGCAAAAGGTCCATTGGAGCATGGATCCACAGATTCCTAACAAACTGTAGAAGTCGAACTGACAAAGTGAGTGGCCCACTCAAAACACAAGAGATTGAAAGGCAAAACTTATGGTGGATCCAGAAAACCCAACGCGAAGCACAACGCAGTGGGGAAATCGACAAAGACAAGATACAACTCAACCTGCAACCAAACATATCAGGAATCTTGGAGTGTAGAGGAAGAATCGAAGGGGAATACCCGATATACTTGCCAGAGAATCATGTCTACACGCAGAAACTTGTGGAAAAAACGCATCTTTCCACACTCCATGGAGGAGTAGCCGCGACCATGTCCAAAGTTAGAGAGCGTTATTGGATCCCAAAACTACGCCAGCTCGTGAAGAGAGTTAGAAGGAAGTGTTACGGGTGTATTAAGTTTCGCACCCAAGCCTACAACAACCCACCACCTGGAAACCTCCCACCTACCCGGACTGACGGCTCTGCACCATTTCAAGTCCTCGGAGTGGACTTCGCTGGCCCAATTCAGTGCAAGACGAAAGCGAACGCAGTCAGAAAAGCCTATTTGGTCCTGTACGGCTGTAGCTTGACAAGAGCAGTGCACCTCGAGCTGTTGAGATCTCTGGAAGTTTCTGAGTTCCTACCGAGTCTAAAGAGACTTATAGCACGACGCGGACGTCCTGAGATAATATATTCGGACAACGCAAAGACCTTCAAAGCTGCGAAGAAGTGGTTGAGCAAAGTACAAAAGGGAGAAAATCTACACGCGTTCCTGACAGATCGTTCAATCAAATGGAGATTCAACCTCAGTCGGGCCCCTGGTGGGGGGGGGGGCAGTTTGAACGGCTCATTGGACTATTCAAGCGAGCCTTTTACAAAACCATTGGGAACGGCAACCTAAAATGGGAAGAACTGAGCGAAGTAATCCTTGATATCGAAGTGGCACTCAACAACAGACCGCTGATGTATTTAGAAGATGATATCGAACTACCCGTCCTCACCCCTAACACCATGTTAAACATCAACCCAAGCGTTTTACCCGAGATGAGAACTCACCTCATCGACGAAAAGGACTTACGCAAACGAGCCAAATTTCTCAAGAAGTGCAAAGAAACTATGTGGAGGCGGTGGTCAAGAGAATACATTAGAAGTTTACGTGAACGCCATCGACAGGTAAGCCAGAAGAATATCTCACATCCCAAAGCCGGAGACGCCGTGATCATTCAAGACGAGAAGAAGAACCGAAACCTGTGGAAATTGGGGATTGTTGTCGAGCTGATAAGAGTTCGTAATGGAGTTGTACGTGCGGCCAAGGTGAGGACAACTAACGGTTGCCTCGACAGAGCCATCCAGCACCTGTTTCCTATGGAGTAGTCTTGTGATGAAGTCGAACCAAGGAAACTGGATCCAACAGCACCGGCATTTGAACCACGACCAAGACGAGACGCCGCCGCAGCTGCGAATGTTAGGATTCAGCAGACAGCAAGAGAAGAAGAAGAGGAGAACTGATAAGTTGACTTTGTTACAAATAGTCGTTCGCAATGATTAAACTTTAAAAATACACACATATAGACAGTTTAGGTTCGGAACAATATGACCGATTCCAGGACAATAGTTTAGTTGACTATTTTACTGATTTTGCACAAAGTTAAGCCAGTCTCGATTAGTGACATATACATTGATTCCAAGCTATGGGGGGGTGTGTGGGAGACTGGCGCTATTAATATAGGGTTATATAAGGTTTCAATTGCACGTGACGTCAGAAACATAATTGTAATTTAAGACGAGGGTGTGGGGAGTTAAAGCAGTGTGTATGATAGTAAAGTGTGATGTGAGCAGCCCGTGCGCTGATTGGGATTTTCTGTTATTTAAATACATATTATAAAAACTTGTGATTGTGTCGAAGATTACATATTGGCGAAGGCAACATTTTCGACAGATGCTGTGAATATTGTTATCATGTTATGTGTTATCACTATATTGAAATGAGTTTTGGTTTTTTTTTCTGAATTTTGTTTTCGTTTTGTAAATGAGTAATTGTGAATGTTGGGTCGTGTTTTCCAATTAAAAATATGTTGTATGATATTTATTAAGGGCCACCGTGTAATAGGACTGAACTTATTAAGTGAATGAGACAAAATTGGACGTGGTGGGTTAAGCGGTAAATATCATCTACTGTGAGGGAAGTTTAGCAAGCAATATTATATAAAAGCCGTCGTTTGGAAATAGGTTAGTATATTTGGTGTTATCTGGTACATGGAGCTATTTTTTCGCTGCATGGTAATTTTGTCCAAAGTATGGCTTCGTTTGCATGGTACAGTTTGCTGAAGCAAGCAACGGTTATAGTAGAAAATTAACTATAACAACAACTTAACACCGAGTTGTAAACGTGATAGTTGTCCCCCTAGACCTACCACTGCAGGCTTTTCTACATTCGAATAACGTTGCTGTAGTAAGCGCCATGCTTTCACTCCGTCGCCAGTGCCGTCTTGAGACAAACAATCGTATCGAATATACATCAGGCTTGTTTTGTCAAATGCTAACGCGAGATAGCAACAACATTGTTGTTTTTCTCTTTAATGTTCTCGATTTCCTTGTTGTTTGTCTTACTTTGGTCTCTCTCTCTGTTCTTTGCTGAGGCGAAGCGATTTCTTCTGGTATAACTTCTTCACTAAATAACGATTTGTAGAGACCCTTTGTTAGCAAAAACGCCGTGAACCAAGTCTTGGTACTCCAAGCTGAATAATCCTCAGCTTCACCGTTTAAACATAGCAACTTGAACGAGTCATTATCCATTATTTACTGTTTTGGGCTTTCTTGGCTTTTACTGGGCTATTCTGGGCTATCCTGGGCCCACAACCTGTTAACTTTAGTGGTTCATTTCGCTTAATATATACAAACATGTATTCAAAACAAAGACGACATATTGTCAACGTATCACAAACGTTTCTCGGTCATGTGTCTGTAATTATCTATATCCCTTAATGTTGGTTTCTTCCAATGTACTATTACATATATACATACATATATATTAACAGTACGGACAATGGCAATAATTTAATATGGGGTCAAAGATCACTGAAAAAGATCAATGCTCATGTGAATATCAAACATCACTCCCTGGGCGCGTGAAAAATAAAATAATGCATGAAAAGTTGCAACAAAAATAATAGCTGCATCACCCCTTTAAGTCAACCAAATATTATATTCTACAGCACTAAGCAGAAAAGCAATATACATTATAAAAGCAGTATTCCTTGGCTTTGGTTAATTTGCTGCTGGGAAAAATTGCAAGTCGACACATTACAAGATATCCATGCATGACTACAGTAGTTGGGTCCGACAAAATTGGATCGTGTGAAACGACCCTCTATACATATTCATAAACCCGTATAATGATTATTTCTCACGAAAATTTCCCACTGCTTAAAGAATATTCGCTTGTGTCGGGAACAATTGCAGTACGTGGTTTTCCTTATTTCTTATATATATATATATATATATACACCCATTTGCAAAAACGTTGGCCGCAGATGGATAGAATGCGTTTTCAAGTGTCTTTTAAAAATGCTAAAATTTGCCTCAAGTCTCAAACTGTCAGGTAAATTGTTCCATAATATTGGGGCGGATCTTCTAAAACTACGTTCACCTTGAGTAACCTGCTTAACCCTTGGAATAACCAAAAGGTTTTTATCATCTGATCTTGTGCCTTTATTTTCACGTCTTTCCAGCAATTCGGTTAAGTATTCAGGTGCAGTTCCTTGGATACATTTAAACACCAGTAAGAGAATTTTATATTCTATTCTCTTTTTCACTGGTAACCAGTGGAGTCTTTCCAATACCGGTGTAATATGGTCGTACTTTCCCGTTCCTGTAATTAATCTTGCAGCCAACTTCTGGACACTGTATAACTTGTCCAAGTCACAATTTGGTGATCCATATAAAATGGCGTTACAATAGTCCAGTCTTGATGTAATCATACTGTTTACCATTATCTTTGCCGCATCTTCAGTAATACATTGTCTAATCTTATACATATTCCGGAGCTTGAAAAAACAACTTTTCGCTATATTACGAACATGACTCTTTAAAGTAAATTTGTCATCTAAGTCTACTCCTAGAAGAGTTATTGATTCTGATTTAACAATATTTTCATTTCCGGTCGACAGGGAAGGGAAATCAGAACAGTCTCGGCGTGGACCCGTCAAAACCAAAAACTTTGTTTTATCATCATTAAGCTTTACATTTATATATATATATATATATATATATATATAATTATATATATATATATATATATATATATATTGAAAACCAAAATTAAATTCAAACAATAAATTAATTACCTGCAAGCAGTCATGGTCGATAGAACGCTTTAGTGATTTTTAATAAAAGTTTTTTGTATAGCTAGAGTTTAATGAATAGAAATCATAAATAACACTTATTTGTGCCGGAGAAACTGTATTAGCACAGAATCTGGCGGTCTGTATTTTAATCACATGTCTTGGTTGAATAAAGTGCGAAAATTAAAAATAATACTATAATTAAGTCTATTTTTATGAAATCAACCTGTAGCAATGAAGGAGGAACTAGTCCTCGTTGCTATTGCCGATTTTGATGAATTCTCAAAACTGCCGAGTCCCAAGGCGGTGGAAGAGTTCCAGAACTGGTCGGAATTAAATTCCTTATTACCTTTAAATAAGGGTAAATGTAAAGAATTGATTCGCTTGTGTGAAGGGCGAACGACGCTGATACTAAATTAAAACATTTTATACGTATGGAAACCGATAGAGAAATTCAGGCTCAATTTTCGTTTCGCTATGCATAAATAACACACAAATACACATAATTTATATTTTAGGTAAAATATATCCCCATGCTCTCACATGTAATGTGGATTTATATTGCATATACATTTCATACAAAAAATTACACGCACATGTAATGTGGATTTGTACAAAACATATCGAAACAATAATGAAGAGTATTTTAATTTAACATTATGAAAGTTGTTCTATGATGTAAAACGAAGCCAAAAAATTGCATAAATGGAAAATTTTTTAAGCAGTGTTAGTGATTTTCAATTTACTATATAATTAAAAAATTCTTTTGCTACATGTGTGCGGGGGGCGACAATCACGCTGTGTCTAGATGAAATGCGGGATTAACTTCACACCCGTTAACTTTTTGACATCTGTCACAATAAGGAACCTGTTTTGAATTATTTCTTTGCCTAATTTGAACGTTGTAAAAATATAAGCTAATTGCTTTCCACTTCATTTACAATCCTGATATTGTAAGGAGAGTGCTAGCCGGTTAGTATACTGATAACTATAACCGATGCTCTTGTTTTATATGATTAATGAGAGCATGGAATTTAATCTATTAATTTTTTTTAAAGAGGAGTTTTATTAGAAAATCGCGTATTGGGCGCTCAAAACTAAATTAAGATTCAATCGAATGAATCGGGTGGTAACATGGCGGCTGGTTCTTATATCGTGTGAGTACTTTACTGCGTGTTTTCACGTAGTCAACTGTTGACTTTCGTTTAATTTTGTTAAATATCGTCAATATACTATTGGAATGATGTGTAAAATGATAAACAAGATGAATTCAACAGTAATTGAAGAGTCAAAAGCAACGCAATGTTACACAGAGGGGTTGGAAGGATTCGACTCTCACAGAAGCATGGAAGGTAGGCGTGCATTTTTGCGGATTTTATTTTACTGCCATCGATAACAATAAATCATACCTTGCAACATTCCTTAGACATTCTAGTTTTAATTTAAGGCATCTTATATAAACTTAACTTGGTTATTTCGGAGTAAATCTTGCTTAAATTTAGAAGCGATTCAAATTTTAAATTTTCACAAAATGCAGTCACTATAATCCGTATTTTGCTCTTATCTTTCAAGCTAAGTGTTCATATTATAATTTATAACGTCTAATGTTTAACTAAGATGTATTTTGTTACAACAATTGCCCTGGTCCAAAATCTAGGCATGAAATTTATCTAAAAAGTTATTGATATTTTTGTGTAATTGAGTATAAAATGAATACATAAGTCTGTTGTAAAACTGTTGTTCACCACTTGTAAATTACTATAGAAATGTTTCCGATCAACCTAAGGCATATTTCATGATTTGCCCTAGGTATGCTAGTTTACAAAAAGCATCATTTAATTAAAATTAGAGTGGTACGCCGTGGAGCATTTTTCGACTTTTTAAAATGAACCAGATTTGTGTATTCTCAACGTGTATTTTTTGTACAGTCCAGCATTACTATCTGTTTATTGAATATAACGCGAAGCGCCGTATTACAAGCTGTGCAAACATGGCTCTCGACCTATTTTACACTTCTATGATGATTTTAGATGGTTTGAACATGTTTTGTTCCCAAAATCCACAGGTTTTCTATAAGCCATGATTTGGCAAAAATGGAGGGAACCTTCACCTTAAGTTAAATGATTAAATATCAACTGAGAACCATTTCCGATCAACCTAAGGCGTATTTCATGATTTGCCCTAGGTATGCTAGTTTACAAAAACCATCATTTAATTAAAATTGAAGTGGTACGCCGTGGAGCATTTTTCGACTTTTTTAAAATGAACCAGATTTGTGTGATATTCTCTACCTGTATTTATTGTACAGTCCAGCATGTATCTTTTACAATGTATCTTTCTCCAATTGCCCAATATTTGACAAATATTATTCACTTAAATATTCTTACAAATGGTAAATCCTAAAAATTACTGACTAAAGGCAAGGTGATTACTAGCCTATATTCAATGAGGAGACAAAATTACAATTTGTTTCAACACAAAACAGATTTGCTGTATACACAACATGTATTTACTTGAATAGCCCAGTGTTGCTATCTGATTTTTGGATATAAAATGAAATGTATACTGTAAGCTGTGCAAACAATTGGCTTTCAGCCATTTTATATTTCTATGGTGATTGTATAGGGTTTTATTTATCCTGGTTGAACACATGTTGCAGATCTGGAAGTTTGTGCAAATCAGCCCTGGATGCTACATCCTACATGCCCTTAAGCCCTTTCTTGTTAACTCCAGACTTGTCTTGATAAATATCTTATAGAGGAATTTGCCATTGCCACATATTTGACATATCTATTACTTTTTATTGCAGGCTTTGAAAAAACAGTGGAAACAACACAAGATTGCAAAAACACTATTTATTGCAATTAATGATATAATATTTTAACAACAAAGTCACATTACAATTTTATATTACCTATACTTACAGCTGTATAATTTTGGAATGAATTGTCCCATGATTGTCCCACCTACATGTCCCATATTATGTACCCACCACACAAGGAATTCATTGTTAATAAAGTAGAGAGGGCAGTTGTTTTTGAAATAAATCAAAATAGTTTGACTTTCCCTTTCTTTGTGTTGTTTCTTGAATAAATTATTTACGGTCTTTTTTATTATTGTTGTGATAAAGATAAACTGATCTTCAAGCTACTACACATAACTATCCACCATCTCCAACGCAAATGCGAGTTTACTGGCATGTCCGTATCTGAAACTATTGTTCATATTTTCCAAGATGTTGGATACCTAGAAATAAAAACGTTGACATTTGAGATTTTTATTTTATCACAAGATTAATTCTAAACCACTAAAATCAGTATATTTCAATATGTTTACACTGTCAATTACACATTAGTGTGTGACTGTGACTGTGTGTCACTCCTTCGCACTAATAAAAATGTACGCATGGAAAATTATATCATTCAAAATATCAAAACAATTGAACGAACACTCACCTGTTGTTCTTCTTTGTTTCAAGGAGCTTTTCGTCTTTTGAAATTCCCCAAAAGTTAGTAAAAGAGCTGTCACTCAACACGAAAACTTTACCAAACTTGTAAATTCAAAATGGCTGCAAAGCATATTTTAGCGAAGGCCTGGTTGCTAAGTTTTGAGCGATTTTGTGCAAAAATACGCGATTTTCTAAAAAATCTCCTCATAATAATTATTACAACATCTATTTTTTTTTAATTTTTGTATCTTTTTTTTAATTTCAGACAGAAAATGCTTTATTTGCGTGTTTTGATCTTATTCGTTCCTGTCACGGTATTTAAAGCGAAACAGTTGGTTAATAATGCACATGGCACGACAGCTAAAGGTAAGTGAACGACGTCTCTACTCTCTAGATATGCCGACGACGCAAAATTCGGTAGCATCCTGTAGCGCTTATTTATTTACGAATATTTTTGCGATAAAAACTCGCTGAGGGACAGGGGAAATTTCGTCACTATTCCGGATTCCCAACAGTCAATTTGGTAGCTTCATTAAAACTCGTGTCATTGGAGTCGCTGCAAAACATTATAAAAAAATTCTAGCTTCTATTTGCCCAAGAAAAGACTGTCGACAATATAACATTAATGTAGCTATAACGACAACGTCATTATAATATATTGTTCTCCAAAATGAACAGGAACACTAGGACATAATTTTGCTTCAGTTGAATTTTACGACTTTTTGTTTTCGTAGCAAAACGACTACCGATGGCTTCTCTATGAATTTTTAGCATAAATTTCGAGGTGACTATTGATTTTCGTGCGTTCTAATTGGTCAAAATTCGCTGTCTCTGAAGTGATAGTCACTGGTCAGCGACTATATAGCTTTCTGATGTTTTTTCAAATAAGAAATTTGAAGTAATTATAAATTTTTATGAAATTTTGTTGACTCTGAGGTTGTAAACACCTCAAAATTTATACTAAAACAATTAGTCGCCTCAGGTTCGGTGATTACAAGCCTATATTCAGTGAATATAAGCCTATATTCATTGACCAATTGTTAAATAGTTCAAAAAAGCAATCATATGTCAACTGTTTTCTTCAAAGGATACAAAAGAGCCCCTGATGCCAACAAAGATGCCTTCGACAAAAACTTCGATACATGTATGATCAATCAATGGACCACTCCAGGTCCCGGTCTTCCTGTTGTTCTACGGACCTCACCAACTGCTGCTTGTAGCACAACAAAACACTCAAGATTATGTTATGGCTTGCCAGCCCGTCGTCCTAATAACGCTCAATATATCTCTTGCTACAATACAGAAAAACTGATACCTGAGTTTACCGCTTATGTTGTCCCACCCTTGGTCGGTCCACCCTTGACGGGGTACAAGAGGCCTAATGCCGGGTTCAGACAGGACGAAGGACCTTTGGGTAGGTATAAGTATTCACTAAAACTTAATTATAAACTAAATGCATGTCACCGAAGAGTATATTATCCTCTTGCTTTCTATGTGCATGATTTTTAATTACTAACCGTTTTGTGCACTTTTTAGCTCCAAATCCACAAGCACAACATACAGATTGCAATAAGCCTCCCGGCGCAGTTGGTCAATACTTTTGCTCCCGAGGTCACCTTGTCCCGAATGGAGCATTCGACACAAAGGATGAGCGCGACCTTACATTTACTATGACTAACATTGCGCCACAATGGCAAGAGTTTAACGCAGGGAATTGGAATGCAGTTGAACAAGCTGTGAAGGCATACGTTAATAATGTCGGACATGGAGTTTATGTTTTTACCGGAACTGGTAAGTACCTTGTGTTTTCCTCTGCATTCTTGGGCAAGCATCATCCACTGCGTCTTGTCATACGTGCTATAACGTTGCAATATTTCTTAATCTAATAAATTCGGAAGCTGGTAAAAAAAAATTTCCTATAATTATAGTCCACTTTTGCTGGTCGAATGCAATTTCCAATATCACGAAGATTTTAAGATCTGCAATTAAATTCAAATTAAATATACAAATTTAAAGATGTATTAATGTGGAATCCTGGGACAAAATCGTCAGCTGGCTGGCTACGCCACTGCTCTAACCACATCCTCGTTTGCCGTTATGAAACAACGGCTATTAGCAAACTCTTATATCAATTTGACAGATTTGGTATATTTATTCAAGTCAAGGACATTACAAATCTCCACTGTCCTTTATCAACTTTGACCTGTTCCAATAGCAATCCCACGAGTGAACGGGACCTAAAGAATTGAATTGTTGTGGGGTCACTAAACGCAACATGACCATTATCAACTTTATTTAAAGATGATGTAAAGTCCGTTCTGAGCATATATTCTGCGCATAACAATGTTTGTTTACGTTGGTTATACAATCTTTACATGACGTATGCGTCGTTATAATTTTATTATTTTCTTCTCGCTCGACGGGCTGTGATCTGTGATGAATATGCTTATTTTTTATTATATTTTGAAGAAAATATTGTTATATTTTGAAGAAAATATAAAGCGAAGCTTGTAAATAAACCGGCCGTTATTTAAAACGTTATATATTTGTAATTGTAGGACAAGCGAGAAGGTGGCGTCTGTAGCGTCAACAAATAGCCTCGCCATTTCGGGCCTTATTCAACAAATAAATTCTTGGAGCATTTCTTTCAGCATAATATTGCTTTTTCTAGCAGCTTTATGATAAGATAAGTTATCGTCGTGACTCGCAATTCGAGCCTCTTCGCCTTGCGATATAAAATAAAATAATTTTGCTCCCGAACTGCCGTTTGTAATACAACCCGTTAATATCGCATATCATTAACATTCCAAAAGTTGCTCCCCCATTGATGGAATGTGTTGATGCGCGGAATATATGCGCAGAACGGACTTTACCTCATCTTTAATATATCAAATTGCAATATAGATAAGTTAGATAACGCATACAGCCATAGAAATAGAAACTGTGAATAACACTTTGTCCTAATCATTTTACATCAATTTTTGTATTCAGCTGGTATGGCAAAGTACTGGTCAACGAAGTGGTTATTTATTCCCTGGAGAGAACCATATAGAACAGGAACAGGAAACATGGTTGTTCCTAAATTCTATTGGAAGGCAGTCTGCGATCCAGACCCCGCAGTCAGGCAATCCATCGTTTTCATTGCTGAAAACAATGTAGACGTGACGTCATCGACCAAGGTGACGACAGGAACCTGTACAGGTCAACCAATGACCCAAGAGAAAGGGGTGGTTTACTGCTACAGTGTGTCTGCGGCCCAAAATCAATACTTTCAGAATTGGTGGCACGGATTTACCCTTCCGGACTTCGACCCAACAAATTGCAGAACTGGCAATATGGGAAATTTTCTCAATACCCTTTTAAAGTTTTCTTAGAAATAACACTTGTAGTTTAAGTTTTGAATTTAAAATTTGAATTTGTGTAAGAATGAGTACCAAAATTTCATGTATATTTCTCAATCTTATACTTAATGTGCATTTTATGCACATTGAAACTCGATCTACTGAATAAAAACACACATATATATATATATATATATATATATATATATATATATAGTCTGGAGCGTTTGATTATTGGAAAATGCAGAGTTGGTTACCAGAATGGGGTATTGTTTTGCCTAAACCCTGCACCTTAGTGAGGACAATGACATTGTTATGTAGTATACCAGCCAGGTATATGCTGAGCCATTATTACAATACAATTCCACAACGTTAAATTACATGTCATTTTGGCTGTGTCTGTTCGCGAATTGACTGGAGATTTAAATTAACAATTCTAAAGTTATATATTTAGGTGCCAAACTATAGTAATAATAATTATATTTTTTTTGTGGCTATGTAACCCCGCTCCTTGAGGCGGGTTCTTAAAACGGTTCGTGCGTTCATTAAAACTAGCTTTTATGGGATAAGTTGTTTAAAAAAAGTATCAAACATACTCCTGAGTTGGTAGTTGGCCATGTTACACGGTGCAATTTTTCTTGCAACGGGAACTTGGATTCTGCTTTTAAAAGATGTAAATTAGTGAAGAGTCCATGCAGTGTAATAAAACATAAATTTTTTGTCGTAAACTTTACAAAATAATGTCAAACGTAGAACTCCATTACAATTTGCATGAATTTTTTGAGAATTATTACATCATTAGCATTGTAATCTACCTTTTCTAAACCGTATTTTTATGTGGGAGAATTGTCACAGCTTTCATTTTGCAGAATGGATTGGTGCATATAGATAGGGACTCAGATATGCAAATACAATATTTATTGACTTTCGTTCGTTGTCAATGTTATGTAGTCGTATATGTAATTACAAAGGAAATGCCAATACCCAGCTCCAGTGGCAAATAACTAACTATCAAATTATTGCAGAATTCTGTTTCATTTAATTGATCTAGCTACGGTCTCGTCTGCTAAAGAAAGGGTATATATATATCTCAGTCAATCGGCTTTTTATTCAGCGAAATAAATTTCACTTTGCGCGAATAATCTAAGTTATAATCTCCATAGTATGAAAACTGAATGATCTCGTGATGAAAGAAGTTTCTTATGGTATTCACACCATGGATGGGTGCATTTGAATATTACTGACAGTGCTTTAATGCGATTTTTTCCTGGTGAGGTAGACCTTATTGACATGTAAATCGGATTCAAATCATGCAAAAATAAAAATATCAACTGCTCTCTTAGTAAGCTTGAATTATAATTATTTTAAAATGTTATAGCTGGTAAACAAAATGTGCATGATGGCATTATTTTTTGTTTATGTGTACCTGTTTAATTATAATAACCTTAAATATGTGTCGTCAATCATTGATTCTTTGGGCTAGGTCGAGTGAAATATTATAGTCGTGATCGTAATCGGGATGACATAAGTTATATTGTGTTGCTTGAAACGGTATTTCAAGACTAATTTAAAACTATTAATCTTAAACAAATGTTAAATATTTATGTCATCATTAGAACAGCCAAGGTGCGTGATACTTCCTTCATTGCTTTAGTTTATTTTGAAATATTTTAAGTACTCCAACTTTTTATCCTAACTAACTTTTTATCCGAGCTCGATGGACGCGTTAGGGAGATTTTTAGGCACTATTGACTGGTCTGTGCTTATTTTCTTGTTTACCATCGAGGATCAACTGAATTATTTCAATGATATCGTTAAGATCGGTTTGAACTCAATGATGCCCTCAAAATTGGTTAAATTGCACGTTAATGATGCCCCTTGGATGACCCCTCATTTTAAAGAGCTAATTCATAATCGTCAAATGGTTTTGAAAGAAAACAACATCTTGCTCTTTAAGTTTTATTGGAATAGAGTAAACCGGGAAAGGAAGATAATTAAATCAAAATTTTATAAGAACAAGGTTGAAAATTTGAAACATATCGATCCCAAGAAATGGTGGTCGACCTGTAAGAAGATTTGCGGTATGTCAAAATCGAATGCGAGCATCGTTAATAAACTTCTGAAAATGGAATTGCCGTCAATTAACTCCAAAACAAAATTGGCCAACGATATAAATTCAACGTTTCTGGATTCTTTGCAAAGCTACTCGGAACTATCCTCAAGTGGAAAAATTGCGGTGACTAATCATCGAGTTCCCCAAGTTACCATCGAAACGGTTGAAAGAAAACTAAGGGAAATTAAAGTGTCCAAAGCATCTGGCCCTGACGACATTCCAAATTGGTTCCTAAAATCCTTTAGTCATCTACTTGCTGAACCAGTATGTTATCTAATTAATTCGTCCTTCCAAAAACAAGTATTACCTACTATATGGAAAAAGGCTGATGTCATCCCCCTACCAAAAAACCAGACCATTGAAGATTTTAACAAAGATTTGAGGCCGATTTCTCTCACGCCTACTTTATCGAAAATCGCTGAAGAGTTTGTCGTGCAAGAGCATGTGAAACTTGCCGTCTTGAAGAAAATTTGATCCGACCATACTGTGTTCCGCATTCATCGACTACACACGCTCTGATATACCTGATTCACCATTAGCTGGAAGCAACTGATGTCATGGGTTCAAAAGTAAAAGTAATCTTAATGGATTACAAAAAAGCGTTTGATTTAATCGATCACAACTTACTGATGTGTAAATTGAAAAGCTATGAAATCAATCCTTTCATTTTAAATTGGATCCATGACTTCCTAAGTGATCGTAAGCAAAGAGTCAAACTGGAGAATGATATTTTCTCAACTTGAGATAATGTTCCCGCTGGCGTTCCTCAAGGTTCTAAACTGGGACCATGGCTCTTTCTGGTGATAATTAACGATTTAGAGATTAAATCATCAAATGGTAATGCGATCTATGTTGATGATACAACCTCCTTTGAAGTTGTGAGCAAATCTGGGCAAAGCTCTGCACAAGCTATTGTTGATGAAATATCTAATTGGTCAAGTGAGAACAAATTTCAAATTCAACCAAAAAAGACCAAGGAATTGCGAATATCCTTTAAGCAGTCTCCGTCTGATTTTGCCGACCTGCAGCTGGGCGACACTACTGTCGAAGTCGTAGACTCTTTCCAGATCCTGGGGGTGACTATTCAAAGTAATCTTAAATGGAACCAACATGTTGAAAAAGTTTGCAAAAAGGCGTCTAAGCGCCTTTATTTTCTATCACAGCTGAAGCAAGCAAAAGTCCACACCAAAGACTTAGTAAATTTCTATGTCACGTGCATCCGCCCTGTTTTAACATATGCTTGCGAGGTTTTTAACTTTAACTTACAAGAAAAATTAAAGGAGTCTTTGGAACGTGTTCAAAAACGAGCAATGAGGATTATTCACGGTTTTGATACACCATACGAAGTTGCCCTTGATTTATCGAGTTTGGAATGGTTGTCATCCCATCGGGACAATCTTTGCGATGACCTTCTACTAAAGATTTCTGGCAATACTAAAGATAAACTTTTTAAATATTTACCTTTTAATACGAATACGGGTTTACCTTTAAGGAGCATTAGGAAATTTACGGTTCCAAAGTGTAATACGGACCGCTTCAATAACTGCTTTATTAATGTCACATCTAGTTGCTATAATGAATTTTATTGTAAATAGGTAGTATAAAGTTACTTTTAGTTTTTTAATTCCTGTAAACCTAATCAATTCAGTATTTTTCTGCAAGATAGGTATTTTATTAAACTATCTATCTATCTATCTATCTATCTAATCTATTAAGGTGGCTAAACAGGAAAAAAAATGAAACATTTGGCAGGTGGAAAAAAATATGACTGCTTTGCCCTATCTGGATAATTCTAGTTATCTGCATAGCTAATAATTATATTCATGATTATAACTTGTAATACCTTAATCTTTGGTGTCGTCAAAATATGGGTTGAGTGTCAAAGTTATAAATCATGTCTCTTTCATCTACTGTTAACAATTTTTTGTGAGGATAATGTTACGGAATAAACACTTCTTCTCAAAAAAAATGGTTGCATCTGGTTAAATCTTTCATTGTCATTTGAGCTATCGAAAATACCTATTTTTTCCTGTTGAGCCACCTTAAAGTGTCCAGATCGTTCCAAAGTGCAACACCTCCACAATTACAAGCCCTTCGACTTGTCGAGGTCTCGGCCTCTTTAAGGAGTAGTTGTTCATTTACTTGCTTTCCGTGCATGTAAACCCGGTGAAATGTGATCGGTTTCAATGCTATAGAACACCAGGTACAAAACTAACTTTTCAAACAGAGAAATAATAATTTATACGATCTACAAGTAGTAAATGCATGTGCCTTAATAAGCGTAGAGTATGGGAATTTAGGGATTGGGGCTCTCCTTGAAATCTTATTAGCGGGGCTCAGACTTCCCGGAATTCGAAATTGTGAACTTAATATTCTTCAGAAAAGATATTGATACGGAAATTTAGATTTGTACTTTATGGGTGCATTTAAAGATTATAGTGCTTAAATGGAATTTTTTCCTTTTGAGGTAAACCTTATTGAAAAGTAAATCGGATTTAAATCATGCAAAAATAATAAACCTTAAAATAATAACCTTAAATATGTGTCGTCAATCATTGGATTCTTTGGGCTAGGTCGAGTGAAATGTCTTCGTCGTAGTCTTAGTCGGGTTGATGTAAAGTTCGCATATGTTATGGCCATGGATTACAAATTACAAAGTTATATTGTGAAAACGGTATTTTAAGACTAATTTAAAACTATTAATCTAGAACCAATGTTAGATATTAATGTTATCATCAAAACAGCCAAGGTGTGTAATACTTCCTTAACACACTCGTCAACCCTGAAGTAGTCTCAATCTTTATACCAGCTTTCTTTGGTCATAGCCAATCGCGCGAGAATGACGAGCATTTCATGTCTCACGCGCGACCCCCTGCAGACATAGGTCATAATAAAAGTTAGTCCAGTTCCGTTGTGGTTCAGTGACGTCATGCAGTGAACATATGTGACATTAAACGCGGTTTGAGGAACAAATCTGATTAGTTAAAAATAAATAAACAGAGTGTGCTTGTCCAAAATCCGGGGGGCTAATTAACATTTTCCTGAAATGTGTTTTATTGAAATTAACAATTTATATTCAACAAGACACTCCGTGGAGCGTTTAGTCGCTGGGGTATTAATGATATAGGCTTTTCGTAACTGATAATATGGTGCAAAAATTTCTGGTTGCTGATCACAGGCGGCCCAATCGCGGGTAGAGTGGTTTACTAATACTATATAGATGTAGTAATACTATATGTACAATATATTAAACATTATATAATTCTGTCTGTGATGTATATATTTCAAATATAATTTATCTACATGTACCTACCACTACAGAGCGTGAGTTTCGACGGAACACAGCAGGAATAAAATGAGAACACCCAAAGTACATGTAGATAAATTATATTTGAAATATATACATCACAGACAGAATTATATAATGTTTAATATATTGTACATATAGTATTACTATATCTATAGTTTTAGGAAACCACTCTACCCGCGATTGGGCCGCCTGTGTGCTGATTGGCTAAAAAGGAGTGCAATTACCTATGCAAATTGCAACTGGGACTGGGAGCAGAACTAGAACAGTCAACAGAGCCTGGGAACGAATATCTGAATTTTTCACATTTTGTTTTGAAAGTTTTGGAGGAAATTAATAAGTTGAGAATGCAACGAGCATATCATAAAAAAGACAATGCTTAAGTAGCGAAGGTAAGAGTGCAAATTTTTTCATCTATATTTTTCAGTCCGGGAAGTAAACAAATGCTTTGTTTACATTTCGAACTGCTGTATTTGTAAAATATGATATACTAACTGAATATCTTACACTGTTCTGGTTTGCTATGCTTGTAAATGAATATAAACCAGAGTTTTAATTCTGAAGAAGTTCAAAAGATGCGAAATTTGGGCAATGTTTATATTAAGAGTCTCGCTTTTATTATAAGCAGAACCGATGCGCAGACCAGACTGTAGATCATCTTTTGGTTTCTGATGCAAATATAGTTAAAGATGTACAGTGAGTATTTTAAAGACTAGAAATCAGTCTTTAAAATACTCACATGTGCTTGTTTATCCGTAATTGCACTCGAAACCATGCTATTACCTATACTAACACATTTTGACAGTGGTAGAGGTGATTGGGCAAATATATTATTTTGAGTGTCATTGGAATTAGGGATGGGATGGATAGGTTTACTGGGAGATGTTCACCGCCCCGAAGCCGGAGAGGATACTAATTTTCATGATCAAGAACATGACAAAATGAGATATGTACAGCCGACAGCCGACATCACAAGCCCCCCCCCCCTAACAGGGCCCCTTTGCAGCCCTTGCACTATTGACAGTGAGTATTGTGTTTCATTTAATATGGTATCTTGACCTTGAAAAGTTGAAAGAGGTGTCAGACTTGTAAACCTGTATTATTCCAGTCATTGCAGCCACAGTAACAGACTCGACTTGTAAACCTGTAATATTCCAGTCATTGGAGCCACAGTAACAAAGTTTAAATTTCACACGTAGTGATTAATGATGATCACTGTGGTTGTATTTCGGTCTTACACTCTTGCGGTCTTGTTAGGCTACACCATGACAGTGACAGTATTATCAATATCCTTAACAGTATTATTTGCAAAAGTAATAGAGAAAAGCATCCAAATAAACGGCAGTTTGCGCAAGCCAAATGCTGCCGAGATGACAGTATTATCAATGTTTAATATCAATACCCGTAACAGTATTATTTGCAGCAAGAGCCACAGAGAAAAGCATCCAAATAAACAGCAGTTTGTGCGAGCCAAGTGACAGTATTATCAATATCCTTAACAGTATTATTTGCAGCAAGAGTAATACAGAAAAGCATCCAAATAAACGACAGTTTGCGCAAGCCAAATGCTGCCGAGATGACAGTATTATCAATGTTTAATATCAATACCCGTAACAGTATTTATATTTGCAGCAAGAGCCACAGAGAAAAGCATCCAAATAAACAGCAGTTTGCGCGAGCCAAATGTTCCCGTTCCAAAGTTCTTTGTAAAATTGAACTTTTTGTCCTTTATTTCAAGTTGAAATTGATGCTAATTTGTAATTGAAATTGATGCTAAACTCGCTCGTTGTAAGCGGCCATCTTGAATACAGCGCGAATACGATTGACGTAATTTGAAATTTTGTGGCTAAAGATCCGAGATCCGACAAAAATGCGAGGCGAAACCTTAGGGACCGGTCATTATTTATGGTGGGGGGTGGCACCGAAGAGAAAAGGGTTGGGTAAACAAAATTTTTAGCAAGTAAAAGGTTGGGTAAATGAAAAACAGAACATGTGAAGGGTTGGGTAAGAAAATTTCAATGTAATTTTTGCGCACAACTATTTCAATTATTAAAGACTTATGTATAAAAAGCATGTCAACTGTCAAATTGTCAATCCAGTACATAAAAATCAGTCAGAGTCACTCGACTCACTATCATGATAATTGTTAGATTTTTTAGGTGCAATAGCTGCCCTCATCCTTTTTTTCTTCGCAACTTTGCTACGTTGTTCTTTCTGCCTTCTGGCACTTCTTCTTTTCTCAGATTCTAAAACCGAAGTAGCATCAAATCTTTTTCTCAATTGAGAGAGCAAAAATTGTAGATTGTTAACAAGACTCTCAACATTATTCAAAATGGGTGTTAGTTGTTCGACAGAAGTGTCTATGAAACCTATTTCATCATTTGCCCAAACTTTTGGAGACATGTTTACATCCAACAACTCCTTTCTTCGACCCATTAACTTTTCCTTCATGTTTCTCACAGAAAACAAAGTTCCTTCCATATGTTTCCATGCTCTTTGATATGCTTGTTAAAAAGGGACAAAACATCAAGATGCGATAGATACATATCAAGTGTCATATATGTATACCAAGATGCGGTATATACATACCAAGATTTAAATATATATATCAAGATTTAAATATATATATCAAGATTTAAATATATATACATCAAAATTTAAATATATATATCAAGATTCATATATTTATATCAAGATTTAAATATATATATCAAGATTTAAATATATATATCAAGATTTAAATATATATATCAAGATTTAAATATATATATCAAGATTTAAATATATATATCAAGATTTAAATATATATATCAAGATTTAAATATATATATCAAGATTTGAATATATATATCAAGATTTAAATATATATATCAAGATTCATATATGCTTTAATGAAGTACTCCATAGCCCGCTCAGTGTCACCGCTGACCAAATATATGTTCAACGTGAACCAGTGAAATACTGTCAAAATACTGTCTCGTGCGCGTGTATGTAAATATGGCGGGCAGGCAATCATCTTCTGCAAACCCATCTGGTAATTTAGATAATACCGTAGAACTAAATGAGTCAACTCTAACAGAAATTGTTAGAAGAGTTTATGACTCAGTGCAGTCAGTAAGTGAAGAAAGGCCGAGTCCGGAGAATCGTTCTACAAATGCCTCAGTTGAAGACGAACTTGCGCAAAGATTTAATAGTTTACCACGCCGTGGAAGTGAGCAAAGACCGCAACTGCCGAAAGCAGACATTAGAACTTTTACGAACACGAGGCCTAGATTCAATCCACAGGTCAATTACGGACACAGTGGGGTAACGAGAGGAAAGGGAAAAGGCAAAGTAAAGACTACAAAGTCTACAAAGGCCAAAGAGGCAGTTAATATTAGGAAGGAGTTAATTTTGCTCCCATATCCGACCTACACGCAAGTCCCTCGCTATGAGCATAAGCGGAAACTTCAAGAGCTTGGCCTGATTGTTGATGGATTTCCCTTAGATAAATCATGGAATGAGAACCAACTACGGCTGAAGGTATTTTTGTTTAATCAATGAAATTGTCATACAAATTGGGCTATTACATTTATTATATAAACTGCCCCCCCCCGTCGAGGACCTCGTGTTTTCAGGATTTTTACCCCTCTGGAATGCAAAAAAAACTAAGATTCTACCCCTGGAAGAATCTTTAACCCCTCTTGAAAAGCTTTTCCATACTTTAATCCTTCTGGAAACAACCTTTTTTGTTGATTACCTATCTAGAAAATATGACTTATTTACCCTTTGGAAATCGAGGTCCTCGACCAGGGGGGTGGTGGTGTTAAGTGTAATAGCCCAAGAGCATGAAACATAGATTCATAGTCATACAATATTTTTATCAGTTTCTCCATTGTCTTTTTGCTGAAGTTCTTGTATTCTTGTTCTAATATTAAAATAAATCACATTGCAACATCATGTCTTACTAGTACTACATCCATTCCTTTGTCTTATTTCATTTTACTTTAATTCTTTCCCATATGTTAATTTGTTCTTTACTTTAATTCTTTTCCATATGTTACTATCTTAATTTGTTCTTGTAGATTGGTGGTGCTTTTGTGCAAAAATTAGTGGATGAACAGGGTGAATTTGTTGCCTTTGAATATGTAAAAAGCATTGGCCAAAATATTTGCCCCTTAAATCTATATGCCAATAAGGAGCCTTCAGGAGAAAATATCTACAGCATGTGCAAGCAAGGGCCTATTTATATACGGGCATGCACAATGTTGAAGGTGTGGGCACTTGATGAAATGCTTGAGTCAGATGGAGCATCTGAGACTGGAATGGAAGATGAAGCTACCAGTAGTCAAATCTCTAGTAGTCGTAGCCAGTTTTCTGGAATAAAAAGATCCAAACAGTCAACTCTAAGTGTAAGTGAGAAAAGAAAGTGTGTACACTTCAATGCAGAAGAAAGGCATGTTGCTGGAGATGAAATCACCATTGTAAGTTTTTTTGTGGCAAAATATAAATAACTTATGTAATAACAATGTATTTAGTATGATAAATGCATGCAAACACAGTGTAAGTTTCATTTATGAAGTTACTTTCACAGCATAAAATTCATATTGAGCTTTAACTGTTTCATTGATACTAATTCTTAACGTATATAAGTACTTTTTAAACTACTGTACATAATTTGTTAATTTGTATTTGGAATGTCCCTTAAACCATTGTGACCAAAGTGATTATTGTGTTGGAAGGTCCCAATAGCAATGCCTTATGTTGTGATCTTTATTTACCTAGGATTGTGATGTAATTGGCACTTCCAATAGTACCTCTTCACCTACAGTTAGGTATGTGCAGGGTGAAGCAACATGTACTGGCATAAGATTTAAAGTTAAGACTAAAACTAGACAACCGATTATTCAACATATCATATAATATAAGTATAACAGTTTCACTTCCTTCAATTAACCATGCATCTTAAACACATCATTACAGAAGATTGTGAATTTCTATGTTTCAGAGAGGATATGAAATTCATTACATAATTAATTACGAATTTAGCCAAAATAATTCTGGACTTAAGAAAGTATTCGTTTTCTATGTGATCTATCATATAATTTACGGATTCTTTTCTCTTTACGATTATTGTAGCCAAGCAGGCAATAAACCATCTGATAAGACTGCCTGTGATTTGGATGAAATTTACGCCACCTTGCTTTTCGACGAAATAAATTCCGACGTGCTTGACGATGATCCTCTCGTTTTGAAAGATATAGTGGAGACTAATGCCGATGACATTGACGACAACATTGAAGAGAGCATTACATTAAAAGAAGTACTGACAGATCTTGGAAAAGCAACCTCTTATGATCAAGTCTCGATGTTTAACCTAAGTCGAAATCATATATGGGAGGGAACGAAAAGAGCGCTTAATAGGAAGTCATTTAGTCCTGAAAATAAGCTTTCCGTAAAGTTTACGGACGATATTGGCCGGTCAGAAGGCGCGGTAGACCTGGGAGGGCCAGCAAGGGAATTCTTCACCCTAATTACAGAATGGCTGGTTAATTCGCGACTTTTCTTCGGAGAAACAACGACGAAGTTCCTTTCATTGAACGCAATCTGCTTGGAAGAACGAGAGTACTTCATGACCGGGCAAATCTTCGCGATGTCGTTGGTACATGGTGGTCCCGGTGCCAATTGTCTATCAAGTGCATGCTATGATGCGGTAATAAATGCAACGGGAACGCTTAACCTAAGTGCAACACTTGATGATATTCCTGATGTTGAATTACGAGCATCGCTTGGAAAGTTATTACAAGCTTCTGTAGTAGATGACGCTCGGCGAATAATTGATGATGAAAAGTTAGATACCGTATTTGATATGGCTGGCACATTTCAAATGATCAGAAGCAAGGCCGACGTTGAGAAGGTAGTTCAGCGCACTATCAACTGGTATGTGTTGGGGAGAAGCCAACCAGCATACTCAAGTTTCAAGGAGGGGTTGAAAACCTTAGGTGTACTAGAAGCCATGTTGAAATACCCAAAGTTGTTCAGAGAAGTATTCTGTTACAGATCTCAACCTCTAACCGTTACGACAGTACAGTCTATCTTCAAATTGGTGCTTTCCGAAGAAGGTTCAAATAGAAGAAATGCCGAAAGTCTTATCCTCTCGCATTGGAACGATTTTCTACAAGACGCAGAAGAAGATCAAACGCAAATAAGCTTATCGGAGGTTTTGTTTTTTGCATCTGGTTGTAAAATTCTTCCTGCTCAAGGCTTAATCGGTGAACTTCATTTTTTGCACGAACCTGAAAAGGATGGAAAGCTATCCAAGTTCCCCAAAGCTAACACGTGCGCGTGTATCCTTAAGCTGCCTGTTGTGCATGTTGATTACGAAAGCTTCAAGAATGCAATGCTGTTTGGTTTGAAAAACGCTCGTGGGTTTGGTTGTGCATGAAAGTTGTTGTGGATTCGGTTGTTCCACATTATTAATCACTACGTAAACAGTAACGGCTTAGTTTAAAGTTTATTAACTTTTGCGACATTTTATACACGTCAGAAGACTATTTTTATAGCATAAAATATCTTTAGATGTTCAGATTTGTTAATCGGTTTAGATACACAGATAAAGTTTCTGAAACAATTTCAGCGGAAAAACTGCAAGAACATGGACTCCAGGAGAATTGTGCTCAAATTAAAAAGTGAAAAACTTGTTTTTCGTCATCATTTCATGCTTTGTTTTAAAATCTTGAATAAGCAGGATCATTTAGACATCCCCTAATTATTACCCTCCTGAAAAAACTAAAAGAGCCATGTTAATTATATTATATTGTGCAAAGCTTTACCCAAATAAAATTTATCCAAAGTTTAGCTAAACATTGTTTTCAAATTCATTTTCTTGATTACCATAAAGATGTTCCATATAATCAAGAACCGAAAGGTATTTTTGAATGCAATATTCATCGCCATTTGCTGCCTCAAGGATATGTTGCAAATCAGTATCCACTTCTTCAGTGTTTTCTATAGAAGATTCTGGAACAACCACATTGTTGGAAGTTTGAAGTTCTGGTATGTCACCTTCCTCATCTATTCCATAGTCAGACATATCTGGCTGAACATCTCCTAAAACATCTCCAACAGCCCTGTAATTGGTGGCACTATTGGACAACATTCCAGCAATCCACAATTGCCTGGGCGTTTTTTTGCTCTCAGTAGTAAGGCCATGATAGTTCCACTCTCTCGTGAGTTCTTCTAATGAGTTGTTAATTTCTGGCAGGTACACATACTGCAGACAAAATAGGTGAATTTCACTCAAGGGATTAAATAATCCACTTGTTTCTAGGTACATGAATACGTTCTTAAACTTGCTTACTACAGTCCGATTGACCTCCCTCCACAAACGTTCTATTCTTTGATTGTGAACTGACTTGCCAGTTATTATACTACCTCTGTTTAGGCCTCTTTCACGTAACATAAACTTAGCAACCTCAACATTCTCCAAGCCCTGATCTGAACGAACACGGGATGGTATGTTGTAACGACGAACAGCTTCTTGAAACAGTTCAAGAACAGTAATAGCCTTGTTATTTGTAGAAGCCCTTAGAAATACAATTAGCCGAGAGAACCCATCGATGCCACCATGAATGACAATTCTGTAAGGTTCAATTAATTTATGATCACCATCAATATGCCAGAGGGCATTTGGACAAGGTACAGAATATTTTCGCCTGACAATCTTGAAATTGTGTCTTCTGACTGCTGAGATAACTGGGTTAACTCTAGCAATAGATTCCCGTACACGTTTCTGCTGAATCATTAATTTTTTTGCTCTGAGTCCTCCTTCAACTAAACCAAGTCCTAAAAATAATAAGGAAAATATGGTAAGAAGATGTAACAGTTGTAACAGTATTTTTTTTTTCCTGAAAAGTGAACCTCCCATGTGGAAATCATATGCAATATACCATATACAACACGTAAAAGATGTGAGATTTTTACGTGTGTAGTCACAGAATATACCTGCTTCAGGATTTATTCTTAAAATTCCTCGAACATGCTCATCTAATTCGCCATCTTCAATACATGTATATGCATCAGCACCAATAGGCATATCAAATTCCCTGCGTCGGCGAGTCAATGTTTTGGATGAAATTCCAATAATTTTTGCAATGTCCACCCATTTCATTGATTCTTCACGCAGTTGTTGAACAACAGTTTTGTCAACGGCAAGTCTTGGCCGACAAGCATGCCCTAAATGCTGAGTAGAACAGCCGTGTTGTGGCAGGTGTATTGCTTCCATATCAGGAGACGCCACTGATTCGGCATGTCTGGCTTGATACCTTGTTTTTAGAAGACGCACAGAAGTTATGAGCCGTTCCAAATCTTCCAATAACTGATCAGGTGATCTGCCACCAACCCCAAGAGTGGCAACACGACTTGATAATAACCCGAGGGTTCTTTCAAACTCGCTAAGGCGGCATAACAGGCTGTCCACGCGATTTTCTTCATATTCTGCACTTAGTCCTGTGATTCCTTCTCGCACACATCTTAAAAACTCTTCGAAAAACTGTCCAAGATTGTCGACAAAATGCGCCATGCTACTTTTGTTCACCTTCTCTTTTTAGTTTTTATAAATATTTGGTCAGCGGTAACACTAAACGGGCAAGGGAGTACTTCATTAAAGCATATATAAATCTTGATATAAAATGAAAATAACGTATCTTGATATAAATTTACGAATCTAGATATTATAGTTAAGTGTTGATATAAATATATGAATCTTGATATATATATTTAAATCTTGATATATATTTATAAATCTTGATATATATATTTAAATCTTGATATATATATTTAAATCTTGGTATGTATATACCGCATCTTGGTATACATATATGACACTTGATATGTATCTATCGCATCTTGATGTTTTGTCCCTTTTTAACAAGCATACTTTGACACTTGCTAACATCTTCTACCTTTACATCTGCTGGTATGGCTGCAGATTGATACCTTTCCAAGTTTATATTCTCTTTTGGAACCACTCCTCGTTGGTAGGACTCAAATACTTTCTGGATATTTTCTAATTCCACTTTAATGCCCCAGCGAAATTTTCGTTGTCCTTCTAAGTAAGCTTGAAAAGAGGACTGCTTCTTTGAGTATGCAGATTTATACACATTTTCAGTAATAGAGTTGTAGTATGTTAACCTATCTGTCTTCACATTTGGAATGTAGAACTTCTCCCATGGTTTGACATTTTTAACATCTGCATCTCCACCAACAACAAACTTGCCAGTAACAAATGAGATAGCTGGAAATTGTCAGATATATATTTAATTATATAAATCAGACATACAGTGTAATACAGGCAAATTCTGTACATCATTTCATTAAATCTTTGCATCAATTGAACTAAATAAATAAATTTGTTACATACATTTGGGAATATTTTATTTGTTTGTATGTCTCACTCTTGGCAGAAAGAAGTTTTGATTATGTTGTTATAAAGTGATATATTTCAAAGTCGAAACATGGACAAATGTTGAATATACCATTTATCATCCAATAGCATATTTAATAGATTATCTTATAAAATATACTATAGAATACATATTCTATGGAACATTTTATCACATATTCAATGGGATCATTAATGGAATATTCCATAGATTGAAAATATTTTATGGAACATTTCATATAGGATGTCATAGAATATGTGTTAGAATGTTCCATAGAATACCAGTATTCTATAGAACATTCTAATGAATGTTCTGAAGGATATTCTATTGAATATTCTATAAAACATGGCATATGTTATAGAATATTCTATTAAAGGTGCTATAGAACATGTTGTAGAACGTTCCATAGAATAGGTTCCAAAATCCCTTAGAATATTCTATAGGATATTCAGTAGAGAATTTTAATGGAATATTCTATAGAACATTTTTGTAAGGGAAATCACAAATAATACAATAAAATCATGGATGCTGATAGAAGTTTTGGAAACAATACACAAAGCCTTGGTTGTAAGTTTCAAAACTTGATAAAATGCATAACAATAAATAATATAAACATATTAAATTTTTTATAACTTACTCTTTTGTCTGTTCATTCGCTCAACTTGAGGTTTCTGAATATTTGTTGCTTGCAAGTTGAGATCCTTTTCAGGCAATAATTCTGACAATGATCCACCAACGCAGGCTTTATCAGCAGCAGTTTTAATAGTTCTTGCCAGCTTGAGACTTTCCAAAGACTTCTTGAATTTCAAAACATGACCAGGCTTGGTAGACATACCCACAATATCAAACATCTGGTTCAGTTCTTCGTTGGTTGCATCGATTAACAAACCAATGTCATCATAACCTGTATCCTTAAATCGATCCAAATACAATGCTGTAAAATTTAGAGACGATAGAAAATTTGCGAAGCCATCCGCCATCTTTAAAAATGTGTGGCACTGATGAGACTGGGCCTGGTTCTGCGAACCTGTCAAGGTTGTCAAGGGCATGGTCAGATGGTCAAGGGTCAACAGCATAGCAACTAGCATAGCAACCGAACCTACAACGTCACAGCACGTCATGATATCAAATGATAGGTCTTTTGAGTTTTGTTATACCGAATGAGTTATATTTAGATGTTTGAATTGAGGTTTTACAAGGACCAAACAACTGAAAAAAGTCTTGTTTTATATTAGGTAATATATTTATAGGTAATAGGGAGCCTGTTTCGTTTTATACGCATGGAGTCAGAAAATTTATCTATGCTGCCTATGGACAAAGAGGTACGTTGGTTGGTGGTTTATAGTAATTTAATAATATTCAATACAGTATGCAAGTACAGAAACACTGTAAATGAAGACTGCTATTAATATACAGTATAAAACAAGATTCAAAGCCATAAAACAAAAGTTATAATTAAAGGACATGTATGACAACTTAATACCACTATCATTTTGTACAGTTTTCGGCAAGGGGTGGGTACTTATTTTTTATTAAATATTCAAGGTTGGGTAAAGAAAAATTTTAATTTTTTAATGGTTGGGTCAGTAAAACTTTTATCAAGCAAAACATTTCTCTTCGGTGCCACCCCCCACCATAAATAATGACCGGTCCCTTAAGTCGCTGCGGGCTACGCCCCAGCGACTAAATATAAATATTTAGTGACGCGTTCTGATCTTTGCAGTCGCCTTAGTGTCAACCTCGCAAGCCAGGCTCTTTTACCTACGCTCCACGGCCCACGCTGCGGCAAAGACCCTGGTCAAGGCTGGTCATGTGACATCGCAAAACCTCCCAAAATATGGGAGGTTTTTAATTAGCGCTTAGTTCATATCCATGGGAGGAGTGGCAAAGTTGATATACCATTTCTGCTATTTTTAGCACTTGTCACAATCCAGATGACTTTGTACTAACGCAACTAAAAATAGCGGTTCACGCAATAAACTAAATAAATACAGCTAGTGTGGCGCAGCAAAAAACTCAAAAGAACAATAAACCGAATTTAGATTCAAATGCTATGTGTAGAGTGTATCATCGTCGATAGAATCGGTTTTAGTATCGTCACAAGTTCAGTTGATATTCAATACAGAACTCGAAGGCCTGTGCTATCTTCTAAATTTGGGCGTTGATGAGCGAATTCAGAGGTCAAATAACAATAACGACACAGGTTATTTCGCTTTGCGATACAACAGCGGTCAATATTCATTATTCAGTCCTTAGAAACACGCTGTTTTAACTGATGTGACTTATGTGTCCCACCCATCCCCACACGGGAGAAGCATAACAAAAGAATCACGTGACCAGCCTTGACCAGGGTCTTTGCCGCAGCGTGGGCCGTGGAGCGTAGGTAAAAGAGCCTGGCTTGCGAGGTTGCCTTAGTGTTAGGTTTGGAGGCGTATATCCATTTGCCACTGCTTCAAGTGACAAAGTGCAACTTTACACGACAACTTTAGTGTATGACAGTTTTATTCACTCTGATATTACAGGACAGGATTACATCAATACATAGGAAGTTACATGGTAATATGTTTAGGACTTGACTTTTTATATAGCTATGCATATTTGCTCTTTCGTTGAATAAATTTTGCTGACATATATATCTATGGAATTTATAGAATTAAAGCCAGATTAATTTTACAGTCTATCGATCTTCAGAATATGATAGAGCATAGTTCAACACCCCCACTTGCTCTTTATGTTCTGACCGTTTATAAATTGATGGCGCGCAGGAGGGCGAGCCATCAGTATATACGCGCCCTTTATATTTCTATCCTGCACTTATTTGACTAGACTTACCTTCTTTTCTTAGTCTCCTAACATAATACATCTGAAACCATGTAATTCTATCTTATTGGTTGTTTTGTGAAAATATCTGCAACGTTTCCTTCACTTGGAATATACTCTAAATCAACTCTGCCTTCCTGTATCTCTGATCTAATAAAATAGTACTATGTCAAAATGTTTTGACCTATGAGGCTGAATTGGGTTCTTGGCTAAATTCATTGCTCTCTGATTATCTATCATAATGAGTGACTTACCTTCTACACTTACCATCATTTCTGGGCAAATCTGCCTCATGAATTTTGCTTCTTGTATCGCGTTGGCTAGAGCTGCATATTCTGCTTCACATGTTGACAATGCCACGGTCGGTTGTTTCGGCTTTTCCATGATATCATCGGGCCATTTTGTGAGAGCTGAAAATTATATAAACTGCAGTAATACTAATTATATTTTTCTTGTGGCTCATTATATTTTTCAACCCGTTCATTGAGGGGTAGGGATAAAACGCGGATACGGATTGCAGATGCGGATGGGAAAATGCGGATGGGAAAATACGGATGAGAGGATAAAACGCGGATGGGAAAATGCGGATGAGGGGATAAAACGCGGATGGGAAAATACGGATGAGGGGATAAAACGCGGATGGGAAAATACGGATGAGGGGATAAAACGCAGATGGGAAAATACGGATGAGGGGATAAAATGCGGATGGGAAAATACGGATGAGGGGGTAAAATGCGAAATAAGGAAATAGATTTTTATATGTAATTTCCTTATATAAATATATATGTCTTTCCTTCTTGTGTTTCTGCCGTCTAAGCTTCTTTACCACGACTAGCTTATCTTTCACGTTTGCCAAAGAAGCGTCCATAAAACTGCCTTTTTCCAATTTTTCATTTTTACTCCGGCGCCAGCGACGGAGTTGAAAATTCGCCTCGGGTTTTTTTTATCGTCGTAAGTGTGTAATGTGTATGTGACCGTATTTATTTACGTCCCGTGCGCGATTCGATTTCGCTCGCATGATACGGCAATTCCTCCAAGAGGAACAAATAAACAGTTCTTTTCATGCTGCTCGATTGAATATCGCCGCTATTTCGCCGTTTAACAAGCTGTGGTCGACTGGTCGTGTATGGGCGCGTTGACACGTCGTAGTTTGCACAGTATTGAAGATTTAGTATAACTATATAAGCGCGAATTCCAAAAGCAAAGTGTAAGACAAAGCGAATATATCATGCGGTTTATTTACATTTTTAAACAATTGAACTTCTATACTTTTTAAAGTACGTTGTGCTTCGCGATCGAACATTTAGGTTCCCAAGGCATCTAAATGCGAATGTGAAGTGTATTGTTTATGTTCAGAAGAATATTAATTGATGCAATCAAGCAAATCCCGTGGGCAGATGTAGTAGAACAAGACGCCTGTCCTGGCGTTAATTCCGGCGCACGTGCCAGTCTTCATATAAAGCTTCTGAACATAAACAATACAGTTCACATTCGCATTTAGATGCCTTGCGAACCTAAATGTTCGATCGCGAAGCACAACGTACTTTAAAAAGTATAGAAGTTCAATTGTTCAAAAATGTAAATAAGCCGCATGATATATTCGCTTTGTCTTACACTTTGCCTTTGGAATTCGCGCTTTTATAGTTATATTAAATCTTCAATCCTGTGCAAACTACGACTTGTCAACGCGCCCATACACGATCAGTCGACCACAGCTTGTTAAACGGCGAAATAGCGGCGATATTCAATCGAGCAGCATGAAAAGAACTGTTTATTTGTTCCTTTCGGAGGAATTGCCGTATCATGCGAGCGAAATCGAATCGCGCATGGAACGTAAATAAATACGGTCACATACACATTACACACTTGCGACGATAAAAAAACCTGAGGCGAACTCTCAACTCCGTCGCTGGCGCCGGAGTAAAAATAAAAAATTGGAAAAAGGCAGTTTTATGGACGCCTCTTTGGCAAACGTGAAAGATAAGCTAGTCGTGGTAAAGAAGCTTAGACGGCTGAAACACAAGAAGGAAAGACATATATATTTATATAAGGAAATTACATATAAAAATCTATTTCCTTTTTTCGCATTTTACCTCCTCATCCGTATTTTCCCATCCGCATTTTATCCCCTCATCCGTATTTTCCCATCCGCGTTTTATCCCCTCATCCGTATTTTCCCATCCGCATTTTATCCCCTCATCCGTATTTTCCCATCCGCGTTTTATCCCCTCATCCGCATTTTCCCATCCGCGTTTTATCCCCTCATCCGTATTTTCCCATCCGCATTTTCCCATCACATCCGCCATCCGCAATCCGTATCCGCGTTTTATCCCTACCCTTCATTGAGGCTTCTTAAAACGGTGTGTTCGTTAAAACTAGCTTCTATGGCATGAATTCTATAAAAAAGTATTAAACATGCTCTTGAGTTGGTAGTTGATCATGTTACACGGTGCAATTCTTCTTGCAACAGAGTGAGGAGTCCATGGAGTGTAATAAAATATAAATGTTTTGTACCGTTAAACCTTACAAATGTCAAATGTAGAACTGCATTACAATTTGCATGAATTATTTGAGAATTATTATATTTATTTGTGAACTAACGTATTTTCATGTGGCCTGGTGAATATACATGCAGTCTCTATAGAGACTCAGATATGCGAATACAATATTTAATGACTTTCGTTCGTTTCGTTTACTGGACCCAATACCCGCTTAAGTGGCAAATAACTTCCATTACATATGGGTTGCTGATCTGGGGTTCATGTAGTAAATCACTTTTTCAGAGCTTAGAGAGATTGCATGTAAGGGCAGCAAAGATAATTTATCATTTAGATTGGTACACTCCTACAAGTAAAGTTTTGGAGAAATGCAAATGGAGTACATTGAACGATATTTACATACAGAAACTCCTAGTCTTGGCTCATAAGGGCTGCCATGGCTATTTACCGCCTACAATGAACGATTTATTTGTTAGGTATTCGTCTAAGTATAATTTGAGAAGAAAAATGTCATTAACATTACCTAAACCAAAAACTGATTTTATGAAGAAATCTATAGCATACCAATCCATAAAAGAATGGAACGTTCTTAATAATTCAGCGAGACTAATCACAGACATAGGTGCCTTTAAGATGCATCTGAAGAGCACTTAATGGGCTATTTTAGAGTGTAAATATGATTCTTATTAATCGTAGTTATTATTTATAATGTTATTATTACTTGTTATAGTTAAAATTATTAGTTAGAGGATAAATTATGCACGACCCCATCAGCTGTAGCTGCGTGTAGACCTATCGTGGGTAAATAATTGCTATTATTATTAACTAACTACTAAATTATTTAAGGAACTGCGCTGTAGTCTTGCAGATTTCTGTTTCATTTATTTGATCTACCTACGGCCTCGTCAGCGAAAGAAAGGATATACAGGGTGTCCCAAAAAAAAAGCAACCACTTAAATATGCAGAACATTAATACAGCTCTAAAGCGCAATAGATAAGCACCTCTGGGAATTGAAAATGGCTCTTAATCCTTCATTTACAATGCTAAAAGTCATTTTAGCTGAACTATGGTGCAAACCCGAACAATATTAATATTCTTGCATATTTAAGTGGTTGCGTTTTTTTTGGGACACCCTGTATGTATCTTAGTCAATCGCGGCTTTGTATTCAGCGAAATATAAATAATTGTATCTGAATTATAATCTCTATAGTATGAAAAAATGATCTCGTGATGAAAATAGTTTCCTATCGTATTCACCCTATGCATAGGTACATTTAAAGATTATAGTGCTTCAAAGGGATTTTTTCCTTGTCAGGTAAACCTTAATGACAAGTATATAAGATCTACAAGTAGTAAATGCATGTGCCCTAATCAACGTAGAGTATGGGAATTTAGGGGGTGGGGCTCTCCGTGAAATCCTATTGGTGGGCTCAGTCTTCCCGGAATTCGAAATTGTGAACTTAATATTCTTCAGAAAACATATTGATACGGGAATTTAGATTTGTACTAAAAATAGGCGCATTTAAAGATTATAGTGCTTAATTAAATGGGATTTTTTCCTTGTGAGGTAAACCTTATTGACAACTAAATCAGATTGAAATCATGCAAAAATAATAAACCTTAAAATAATAACCTTAAATATGTGTCGTCAATCATGGATTTTTTGGTCTAGGTCGAGTGAAATGTTTTCGTCGTAGTCGTATATTAAGAGTAATTGTTTATTCGTATATTTTTTCTAATTTTTTCGCGTCTACAGAACAGTGTTGCCGCTATAGGGATAAGGAAAATACTGGATTACTACCTTTACCTGATTAAACAAAATCTCCGTTGAATCGTAAGCCTTATGAACATTATTAGCTTTCTCAACAATATTATGACTGATTAGCCAGTAATCCGGCTCATCCGAAGAGATACGTAGTGACTGATAGATGTGATAGATATTTAATAAACAATCCGCATATTTGACATCGCGACATTTTCAACACCTTTTGAAATTGTAGACACCAGAAACATCAACAGATGTAACATATTATATATACGCGGTGGTGTGAACCTCCAGATTGTTTATCTGGCTCTTGAGACATCAGTGCAAACATACTTAAGAAAGCGAGAATGGTTCAACTAAACAGGCCCATATTATGGACATTCATTCTTGTATTCATAGTGTCAGGTACGTGTGAAATGAGAATGCATTGAAGTAATCAAAGATGTATACACGCGCATATGTTGTTATGTACATAAGTGCATGCAAACACACCCTTGGTGGTACTTTTAAAATGCAGTAGCTAATGTTTGCTCTGCTGTCAATTTACCTGAAGCTCTGAACTAAATCAAGAAGGCAGGTTTAATCATTGTATTATTTGTATACAATTATTGCTTGAAAGCCAGTGTATCCCGTAAATCTGCGCGCATGGAATCACAAAACTGTCATTCATAGACGGAGGCTCATGGAAAGAACGTGCGTATAGCCGCAGACACTTCGGCTAAAGATTTTTTAAATTTCATATATGGATTTTTGTTAGCTACGTACTTTTTTCCTAATCTTGCATGCCCATGCAAACAGCCCACTGCGGTGTATTCACTATGAAATATAATTCGCTTTACATGCAGGCTGCTACGTGCATGAAGGAAACCAATTAATCTTCCGGCCTTAGCGTTGACTGTCTACTTCGAACGACCTAGCATCTTGTACATGGTCATTAGCGACTTGTGATAACCGCAACACATTCTGAATAGTGGAGAATATTTCTGAATCGTCGACTCATATGATATCTTTTGGTTGTATTTGTCTCAACTCTCAAGTTGAAAACCGGAATGTTTTATTAAGTTGGTCAATATAACATTATTATTGCTATCATACACTTTATTGTTTTCTCTTTAATTTCACGCAATTTGATTGGACGTACGATATTCGTGAGAAAAAATGCGATACACTGCTATGATTGGACGTATACGATATTCGTCACACGTGAAATTTGTCAACATGGCGTCAAAATATAGGAGTGAGATTTAAAACATAATTCTCAAATTCAAGACATTTTCACATGCGGCACATTATCGAATATTTAAGAAAAAATATCTAACTCCTATTGTCTATTGAACAAAATTACAAAGAAACTGAACGGTAATAAATATGTTTTGATGTATAAAATTTTGATTTTTGTTGCTTTACGTCAATATGTTTTGACCTCTGCTGAACTGGGTTCTTGGCTAAATTCAAAGCTCCCTGATTATCTATCATATAATGAGTGACTGACCTTCTATATCTACAATCATGTTTGTGCAAGGCTGCCTTAAGAATTTTGTTTCTTGTATCGCGTTGTTTTCGGCTTTTCCATGATATCGATATCATCGGGCCATTTTGTGAGAGTTGAAAATTTTAGCCTGTCACTGTTCGTTTATCTTCAACAGACGCTCCCCAATCTGAATCACAGAACCCTTTAAGAGTTAGCGGGGAACTCGTTTTCCTAAAAGTTAATCCTAATTCCTGTGAATCTTTCAAATATCTCAAAACATGTTTGGCCGTGCTTAAGTCGGATTGTTTGGGATTTGACATTTTTTGTGACAATTTTGTTACAACGTAACTCAGTCCGGTCTTGTTCCAGTTATTACGGACAGTATATTAGGTTTCCCAATTGCTCTATATAATGTCGGGTGCGTCAATTTTGGCGACTCTTCATTTGTATCTGTCTCGTGGCCTAAAATACATGGGGTCGGCTTAGGTTTAGAGTTAGACATTTCCAATCCCAAAAGAATCTTTTGAATGTATCGGGTTTGATTCATCTTTCTGATTGCACCGTTTGATCTCCGGTGCGCTTAAATTCGGTACCTAAAAACCATTTCAATTCTCCTAAGTCCGTCATTCTAAATCTATTGCTCATGCAACGAATCTTTACGCTGCTTAATAAATCGCAAACGCTTGCTGCGATGATGATGTCATCGACCCATACTAATAATAACACATCGCTCATTGTCAATTTTGCGAACATACAGACATGGGCTGCAAGTGACTGCGTAAACTTTTCTTTTGCCAAAAACTGATGCATAAAAGTTGTTCCAATTTCTGCCGCTCTGTTAAAGTCCATATAGTGACCGATTTAGTTTACATACTAATCTTTCGTTATTGTTACTGAGCCTTCCAAAACCTTCGGGATGTTCGATGTAGATTTTGCGATCAATGCATGGGTGCATGCAAATAAGCTGTTTTGACGTCCATATGGTGGACAATCATGCTATACTTAACCCTGCGTTGCAATAAAGTGCAAGTGGTCATTTCTTCTGCAGTCCTTCGTGTTGTGTGTCTTGCTTCTACAGCTACTACACCACTTCTCGTTCTTTGTCCAGCAATCCGAGCTCTTGTGACCCTTTTATCGCATCTGAAGCATTTTCCTTCGAATCGTTTCTGTGCTGGCTTTGCGTACAGGACGTTGTCTTGAACCTCCGTTTTGCAACTCATCTCATTTTCTTCATAGTTGCGTAATTCTGTCTTAAATTCACTAAAAGTCATTGGCTTTTTCTCGTTGTAACGGCTGAAAATGTTTTATAACTCGCGGAAGTCCCGCTAATACCATAGCGATGAGTAGGCCGTCGCTAATAACTTCTTCGGCTGATTTAAGTGCCGTAGAAGCTTTCTCCACGCGAAGCATGTAATCAGTTGTGTTCCCGTTCTCGCTCTTTTTCAGCGAGGTCAGCTCGGTGTAAAAAGCGGTTATTCCGGGTTTTCCTTTACCTTGGGAATGATCATGCAACACCGTCAAGGATTTTCTTCCATCGTCTCTTGCTTCTCGTATGATCAGGGATAAACTACGATCGTCCAAGCATTGGACTAACTCGGCGAAGGCATTTGCAATCCTTCCCGCATCTAGCTCCCGTTCATCTTCGCTATAGGAACAAACACGTCGCATGGTGTCTGAACCCTGATAACCGCGGGGAACTTAACTTCCCAGAGCTCATACTTGCTTTCATGAGTTTCATCTCCGTTGAGTACAAGTCCTCTCCTGGGCTCATAACCTGTTAGGTTTTGAGGCGTAGCCATTTGCCACTGCATGCTTCCACCAAGTACAACTTTACACGAAAACTTTAGTGTATGAAAGTTAATTTTACTCACTCTGATATTACAGGACAATATTACATCAATATATAAGAGGTTACATGGTATATTGTTTAGGACGTATAACATTTCACTTTACTTTGAATAAACTTTGCTTACATATATATCAATGGATCCGGAATCTATAGAATTAAAGCAATTTACAATCTATCGATCATCAGAATATGACTGAAGAGCAGAGTTTAACAATAAAACGTCAGCATTTTCAAAATATACTGCGAAACTTTGTCTTTGTTCGTGTTTAATGCCTTAAACTTAGCCCTCCCTATTCTGGACAAGCACACACCGTTTGTTTATTTTTTTTTACCTATCAGATCCGTTTCTCAAACCGCATTTCGTGTCCCGCATCGTCACACGATATTTTTCGACAAATAAGAAACAGTTTTGTACATTTTTTGTACATTTTTATTTGTTTTTTGAATTTTTTTTTATGGAATATTGTTATTCGAGTAACTAATTATAAATTTTATTTGTGATCATTTAGTTCAGAGATTCTCGTTGTTTTCATATAAAATTTGTGAATTATGAATAGATATTCGTTCTTTACCTTGTTGTTTCGTTTTTCTTTAACAAATGGTATGATTATGATAAAAAAATTAAACTTATTTACCAACACTTCGGAAAACATTATGTTTTGTGGCCCCTCGACATATTTCACTCTTCGCCTCGTGAAATATCGACCCGTCTCGGGTCCACAAAACATATTATTATATAGCACGTTTCGAGCTTCATCTGCTCCTGAATCTGATTCGTTAAAACTACGTCACGTGAAAGGCGGGAAATCCGAATGTTTAGCGCAAAATCTTGTTTGTCAGGTTTGAACCAATTTGATAGGGGGTTATTATTTTTAACCACGGGGGGTTAATTAAACCGGAAGTCTTGATGCACGTCACATCATGCGACATAATAGGGAGATTTAGCGCGAGGACGCGAACGTCAAAGACGACGTGAAAATGGCAAATAAATGGTGTGGCATGTCCATATATAGACGCGTCATGCCATTTATTCGCCATTTTCACGTCGTCGTTTGACGTTCGCATCCTCGTGCTAAGTCTCCCTAATATGACCTTTAAACCTCAGCCGAATCTTTTTGAAACGAAAAATTTCAACGAAATTTTATTTACCATGCATATAAGACGTGTGGACTTTTCTCTGGCTTAAATTCAAGGCACTAGAGACACATTTCTGTGTTTTACTTAATAATATATTTGTCAACATTTAGTTGAGGCCTCAAAATTGGCTAAGCTGTGTTCATCAAATCCTTCCAACAACGTACGAGGATGCGACCGGCAAGGATGTGGACACTATAGAGCTGCGAGGTATAACTATATATGTACTTTATTACGATTTTCCAGAGTTTGCACTGTTAAAACCTTATACAAATTTATTATTTTATACTCGAAGACCAATCAGCTTCCAGTATTTCTATGCTCTATATCTCGTAGAGTAGAAAATTCATCATCTTCTTTAATTCATTAACAACTCTGTATAATTATTACAAATTGATTCATTCTCTCGTGAAGGTAGCTGCAGGTTTTCTTTGAAATATTTTAGTCCCAATCTCGTTCATTATCAATCGACTTAATGCAGGCTTTTATTCAATTGCAACAGTGCGTCGCTAAGGGTTTGAATAATGAATATTATCTATGACGTTGAATTTTAGGGGCCGTAGAAGGCATTATGGAGTTGACATAAGATGCAGCCCCGGCAGCACAGTATATGCTCCATTCGCTGGGACTATTGTCCGTCGATCAAGGCCTTATCCGAACAATAGAAATGCATTCAATAACGGTCTGCTTATCCGAGGAACTGGCAATTTTAATGGTAATCAATCACTACCAGTTATCAATTCTTTTTTGATCGTCAAAAGACACCACCGCCCCCCCCCCCCTATACAGGGTGTCCCAAAAAAACCCGAAAACTATTGAAATCACTCATTGTTAAAATTTGAATGCCGTGCATGTGCACGAATTTTAGCCCGTGGGGATTTAATGCAACTCAGTAAAATGCTAAATGCTTTGTGTTGCTACAGAAAGGGGACATGTCTAAGGTCATGGTGATTGAGATGCACATTTAAATATTGTTATTAAATATCATTTTCGCGTACGAGCAAATTTTACTGCATCATATGCATGCATAAAAATGCTTATGGCAAACATTTACACATTTGTGCATGGGTCTCAACAGAGTGCTTAAGCATTCAAACTCTAACAATTACATTGTTATGGGTGATTTCAATAGTTTTCGTTTTTTTTGGGACACCCTGTACATCGAATATATTTCCAAACAAAATTATGCTTTTTCTCTCTCTAGGATTTAGCGCTAAAATTTGGTATTTTACACCAAGTCTCCACAGTGGTAGGATTTCAAAGGGAAGAGCATTGGGCACATCGCGACGTCTTCTTTATACCGGCATTACCCAGCACCTTCACCTTCAACTATACAAAGGGAGAAAGATCGTAGATCCTACCTCATATTTGTAAGCTGATTTACAGGAAAAATTGAATTTTAAGTATACTAATAATAATAATAATTAAGGCACGAATTGTTTTATAGAAAGAATATGAAATGTTCATATCGCATACCATTGATTTTTTATCATTTTTGTCATTAAATATATATTTGCATTGAAATATAAAACATATAATTTATGCATGCACGCAGTATGTTGATTCTTTTTTGTATATAACAGCGAAACCCGCGGGAAATATAACTGATTGAAATGCTTGGACGAATCTTCCGCGTAGGGTCTTTAAAGGATACATTATACCGAAATTTGTTGACAGTGAAACGTAACACGTACGCTATAAGTACGCTCAGCGTCTCAGTGGATCCAGTGTACTTGCAATCACATGGTGATCTTTTATTTAAAAACATTCTTTAGAAATTTTAAACGAATAGCGTTGCTATTAGGCCTATAGAAATATTAAACCAATACCCTTGAGTATTTTGAATTTAAAGATTATTAAGCCTCAGTCTATACCTTGAATTCGGCCACTGACAAACCTTGAACTCCTTCCGGGAAAAAATTTAAAATAATGAAGGGTGATTTTTGGACGAATACCCTGACTTCAAGGTTCAAACTAATAGTAGTTTATATTTTGAAATCAGGTGGAATGCAAAAGAAAATTAAGAAATCATCAGCAGAATTTTAGAATGTGTTTAAAGCATGCAAATAAAAAAAACTATGCAAAGTATTTTTTCAATAGAAGAGTGCATTAATTTTATTGGCATTCAAAATGCAGCGAAGTTTACAAAGACAAAAAATTAAGCGCATGAACAAAAAGAGTGCTTGACAAAAATTAAAGATTTCCAAGTCAGTTATTATAAGTTGGACCCGCATTAGGACCTTCGTTGGGATCTCCGTTTTCGTCGATCGGTGTCTGAACCACACGATTTCCGTAAACGATCAGAGATTTCATCAGACCAAATGTATCATCAAATCTGCAGAAGAAGAGTTTTCAATGAGAGAAAAGAGAATTTATGTATTCTATGTGGCATCCCAAATGTCCAATCAGCAACAATCTCCAATCTATTATAACATATATAATTTCCAAATTCTGATTATATATAGCCCATGCAACTTAGGTGCAACCTTTATAGAATATATTCGACCCTGCGTATCACGAATATATGAATATGGGCTCCCCAATTATCGTTCTAGTTTCAACAGTTAAATCGGCAAACCTTTTCGAAACGAATATACCTACAAAAAATACATTGGAAGAACAAATATCTTCCTAGAATATATGCACCCATCAATCATCACATCTTGTTTCAGTCCTGCTCATAATTATAAGCTGTTGTTTAGAAAGACATGCAATACATTTCGGGGAAAAAGTATATTATTATATTTATAATACGGTCATAAATAGCTATAAATGTTGTTTGACTTTTCCTTATCAATTTTAACTCTTGATTAATTTGTGTTCAGATAAATGCTTCTTTTCCGGGGTTATCACCCGGTAAGTGTGTAACATAAATATATAAACGCTGAGGCACCTACCTGTCAACATTACCATCGAATACACTCTGCATAGTTTCCAAAAGCGTGTTGTATATGTGATTGAAAGCCTCTGCGTTCTTGTAAGCCTGACTATTAGGCTTATACTTTGACATCCGTGGGTTCTTCACCACAGGCCAAACGCCGTTTTGGAAGAAAGGTATTTTATCACCCACATAGGCGTAATTTTCGTGGGATTCCTGATCAAACAATAAACATAGTGTGAAAGGGAAAGGATATTGTTGTCTTTTTTCGCTCGCAAGACATAAGCCGGTTTTCCACTAGCGATATTTTTCGAGCGAGTCGACATCAGTTTTACTTTTGTTTCAGAGCTCTCAACTGCAACCATCTGGAACAAATTGCTCAAATACAAAGGAATAAAGTTGCTTCGCGCGAAAAATATCGCTAGTGGAAAACCGGCTATAGAGAGTGCACACACTGTTAATTTTGCGGTGTCATATTGACACCAAAAAAGGTGTCAGATAAAAAGGTACAGAATAACACCATTTCGGGTGCTAAATTGACACCGCGAAATAAGGTGTCAAATTAGCACGATCTTTGGTGCTACTTTTACGCCAATTTATGGTGTTAATCTAACACCCGAAGTTTGTGTGGTTTAGTTTTTGCACTTTTAGCGCTAGCAATGGAGCGACTAAATAGCATAAGCTATAATCATACAAAGTGGACAAAATGCGATTTAAAAATATTTATTTCTACATATGTTGTGACAGGAAAATCTATGTACAAGAGTGTATAAAATGTCTAGGGTACTTAACGTCCTTTAAAAGTTTTTGTCCTAAGGCTAAGGCTTCCTGACGAGAGCAGTTTCCATTTGCCACACCAGCAATGTACTCCATGTTTAGTAGATAAAATAAGGTTGAGTCTGTTCTTGAATAAGTTAACATTTGCCCCTCCACCGCAATCATCAAAGTTTGAACATCTGAAAGGTCTTCTGAACCAATTATCCTGATCTATGGAATCAACAACCTATAATAAGAAACCAATGTTTTTAAAAAGGACTTTAAAAGTGTTTAAAAAACAAAATCAGCCCACAGAGTTTCTTACACTTACAGAACAAATCTTAAAGAAGAGAGACTGAGATTCTCCTGCATTCTCCTTCAATAGTTCCTTCAAAATCTAAGCAACTCTGCTCTTGATGTCTGTTAAAAAAATTGTTTATCAATATAGATAGATTCTAAATAGGCCATATTTCATGTAGCAATAGCCTGTATTGCTATAATATTGTAATTGTGCTATCAATTGGTTTTGACAAATTATTATTAATTGCATGATTTACCTGATTTCCCAGCAATTGCTCTCTCCACTCTGTTTATAAGAACCAATGTAGTTTTCTTGTTACATTTCTTGGCATAGTCCAAAACATTTTTCTGAATCAATGGATTGAAATTTGCCAACCATATCATGGATCAACTTGTAGTTTACTCTTTAAAATTCAGTTTTTACCTGAAAAAGAATTAATACAGTATGCTAGATACATTGTGAAAGAAAATTATTTTACTGGTAATTTAGAACCCATACTCTGTCAATTAACTAAAATATCAATGAGAATTTTACACGAAATATGACAGGCTAACTAAAAAGTTGCCAACTAGCACACATGGGTATTATGTCGAACAAAGAAATTTGGCAGTCAATTATCTGTTTGGATAGTTTCTCAACAAGAATTATAGCAAAGTGTTGAAATAGAGCACTTGATATCAATCAAACAGGTACCTTATCAATATGAATGCTGTAAACTAAAAGCAAACTTACCTCTGTAATAAGCTGGAGTGCAGGATATTTTTGTTAAATTGTTTCTACCCTTGGCCTTGTTATGATCCATGAACCCTGTATCAAAATAAATTGAATTATCGACATGTTTAACAAGTCAGATCCATTCCAGATGTTTAACAAGTCAGATCCGGGGTATCATAGAGGTGGTACACATAGATAATCATAAAGATTATGTATAACAACAAGGTTATCACTTACTGTTCCACCACAATTGAGTCAGCAAGGAAGGGATATTTCTAAATTATCATAGGTGAAATATTTCGTTTTTCTTCCATGGTTGGATACATTAATTGTATACACTTCATTGTTGACAGTAAATATCCCTTATTCCCTTGTGAATCATCAATCATTAGAATTACAGTTTCCCCTTAATTTTCCACATTGAAGCCTTTGTTCACTCTTGGTGAAAACTTAAAATAGAAAAGAATAATAATTAATCATATAGACATTGTAGACTTATTTATAGTTGATAAATGTATCAGTCCACAATTCAACCTTACTATAGAACACAATCAATAGCTGGGCAATTGAATGACTGACAATAATTGTTAGAATACATGTTAAACTCAAATTTTTCAGCAGGCTATAAATAGTACTTTCAGCTAACCTGTAGCAGATTATACTTCTCAATAATTTTATCAAAAGATATATTACACAGGCATTGATATTTCATTAAACAAAAAACTTTCTCTAACATCAAATGTATCAAAATAGAGCATAAATTGTCAAATGTTAATATAGGATAAAATATCGTTAATTTACATCAATATAGGAGACTAGCGCAGATGCTTCATAAAATGACGATAAAAAGAATAAACATGAATAGATACCTATTATTGCAATGATATTTTCTTTGACCCAGATTGCTAAAGAGATCATCGCAGTATTAAAAGTAGAATTCATTTGGCTTCTCTATAATAAAAAATAACACACGTTTGTTTGGCGATTTGGCCGTTTGAGCGAACATGGACCTCCGTACTCGATCAAATTCAATTCAACTTACCAAGATATTTCTGAGATAATGTCATAGCCAATTGTCTTGATATTTCCTTATGTGAGTTCGTTGTTGTTCAGCATATTCAGAAGTACCAAAATAGTTAAGAAAATACGCTCAAAACGTCTTCAACATGGCAGTATGAACTATGAAGTACGTTTCAAAAGAGTTTTCAAACGACGCGCTCAAAAATTTGCATACAGGCGCTGATCACGTGTTACATTTTGTTCCTTATATGGACATACATATAGCGCAGGCGATTGCGAAATAAATACTTTGTAGCAATCAATACATAGGCAGTCCGAAAATATAGCCCGGAATAACATAGTTTGATAAAATGAAAAGGACAATGGATCACTATCGAATATCGATACTATCGATCTACCATTTGTCTAGTATTCGTCTCTATCGGTTTTTTTGTATCAGAACAAGTCGAATTTCCATGTCGTCAGATCACTCAGATGAATAGTTGTGCCAAAACGCACAGGAATTTCTTGTTCCAAAACATCTGAATCGAAAATACGGACTTATTTTCCAATAATTACTTAAAGAACCGCTTTTTTCCTATCCGCCATTTAGTGTTATTTTGACACCCCGTACTTTAGCTCTCAATATAGCGTTATTTTAGCACTTTCCGTCGGCAACAGAGGTGTTATTTCAACACATTACAATGGTGCTGAATTTAAACGGTGTCATATTGGCACTTTTAGCGTAATGTCAGATTTGATGGTGTTAAATTAGCGCCGAAATTGGTGTCAAAATAGCACTTTCTATTTAGCACCACTGCATTGTGCTGATTTGACACCTACGTTGGTGCTAGTTTAGCACCTCAAAATTAACAGTGCACAAATTGTGAACGAACAGGGCATTTTTCAAGTTGCCCACGTTATGTAATAGACAATTCCCGGATTACACTATTTTTTTATCTAGGCATGGGAATGAAAAAAATCACCACAGCTAAAAAGAGCATACCAAAATTGGTAAAAATGCGAAGTTTGGTTGCGAAATGTTGTAAAATGTGGAAAATATAAACTCGCAAAGTTTGTAATTTTGCATACTTTAGCACCGCGTTCTGAAATTGCTACCATTTTCGGCCCAAATGTGGTAGCAATTTCCGAACGCGATAGAAAAGTATAGAAAATTGCAAACTTTGCAAGGCTATATTTTCCACATTTTACAACATTTCGCAACCAAACTTCGCAATTTTACTAACTTTAGTATGCTCTTATCAGGAATATACTTTTTTGCCAACATAAAAAAATTAGTCTAATACGGGAATTGTCTATTGCCGTTGTTTTTCAAGGCAGTTTTTCAAGGCATGCGCGGAATCTCGACAAGGAAATATGGCAACCACTATATATATATATATATATATATATATATATATAATTATATATATATATATATATAAATAATATTTAATACATAATATTTCAATTTCCGAAAATGACATAATAAAATAAACTTAAAAAAAGCTTCGGTAGGTGAAACTGACGTAGATCAAATGCGCCAGGTAAAAAAGTTGACGAAAAACATGCATTTTTTAAGACATATAGTTGACTTTTATGCCATGCAAGTTTAAATACCCTCAAAATTTATCGCATCGCAAGAAGCGTTTTCAATAAAAAGAAACAATGACAAATGAATAAAGGAAATTATTCCTTCGGCAGTTCTCTGATTGGATTTGGCCTGCTAAAATTTATATTTTTAACGACTTTTTGCATATTAACCGATGTTAATTTTGGACGTTTTACCAATCCAGCTCATTCTAAATTTAACGGTTTATTCTTAATATTTCAAAAAGTGTTTTACCGTTACCTTTTTGTTGTTATTGAAAATTTTCTCGTAAGTAACGTTGAACGTTGCAAGTCCTTTACCATGATATATGGATGAAAACTTAAAGTAATGCGCCAACTCTGATGAATCGACATTCTGCTGCAAAGGACTGTACGCCGACGCTCCTTCGCCTTGGTCAACTATTGCTTTGATTGCTCTTAAGGCGTCTTCATAATTCGTAACTTTTCGCAAAAGATTCTTTTTCGGCCATTCCTGTTGTTTTGTTGTGCCAGTGAATATTTGTTTTCTTCCGCAAATAGCTATTTCTCCGAGAATGTAAACAATGGACATATATAAATCTCCAATTGTGTCGTGACTTGTTTTGGTCAACTCTTTGCTCGGTGGGGGAAACAATGCAAGAGCTTCTTTACATTTTCCCGGATCCGGAGGAGTGGCTTTAAAGTATTTCAAAAACAAACAAGGTTCAGTATAACGTTTCGATTTTCATGCTCGGTTGTATCCGAAAAATAGAATTATAAAGATTATGCCTTTCATAGGCGAAAGAATGAGCAAGGGGAGGGGGAGGGGAAGGGGAAGAGGGGCGGAAGAGGGGAAGAGGGAGGCAAGATACCCAACTCACGAGTACAAATTGCACCACTTAATTATCACCGATTACAGCAAAAATGAAATTTTATAATGTCAGAGAATACAGGAAACATAAACAAAATAGTATAGTCATATATAGCTGTCTATATACAGTTTTTTAGAAGAGTTATATAGATGAAAATTATGCCAAATTACACGTGACAGATTTAAGGCTTTCTTGCAAAAAATAGGCATACAGTATGGAGTCATTTGGAACAATATATTGTGTGAAACAAAAGGAATTTCTTTATAATCACACTTAGCGTCAAACATAGCAATTCCAGCTAATTTTTTGAAAAAAATTAAAACAAAACAAAAAATCATCCAGAAGGTCTTGCATTTTTCACAAATCCCGAATCATCTCCTCTCTATTGTGTTTACTCAGCCTCAATTAACAAGGCGTTCAGAAATTCTGAATTGTACTGAAAATCGACAATAGCTAAATTTTGTATACGGGTGGGGGAAAAACAATTATACTGAAAGAGATTGAACTAATATAACAGAATCACATGCATAATGGTGCCATACCAGAATTTTTTTCCAGACGCATCACTAATATAGATTTCATTTACCACATCCGAGTCTTGGATAAGCTTTTTAAACATGTGACCGTGTTATGTAAGTACAAGCTGCCAAGCACATATATTGCAGATGCATAAAACAGCGTATTCAATACGGGTATTGAACATTAAATTGACAATATAATATTATATATGAATAATATATACATATATACTGTTGCTCATACCTGAATTTCCTTCACCTTGTGGCTGAAGGTTTGCTAGTAAAATATTTTAACAAATAAAAGTAAAAATCGACAACCTATTTGCAAATAAAATAATACGGTAATAGCTAATAATAATATTTAAATAAAGGGTTGACATGTAAAGTAAATATATATTGCCTGTCAAAATATAGCGATAATACACGCAAAAGGAAAAAACGTTTGGGAAAAATTCCAGAATTATTTGATAACAAAAAATATATAATGCACTGGCAAGAAGACATCTAGTTCTACGAGAACTAGATAGCCCTATCCATGCACTACAAGATATTTTAGTATTCTCAATTGCTCTCTTAAACGTCAAACTAAAAAAATACTAATGTTGCACGGAGTCTAATTGGCTCATTACTTCTGCGGAGGCAATCAAACTTTATCTAACAACATAGTCCAGCAGTTAACGACCACAATTGTTCACTTTGATGATAAAAGCATGAAACTTTGCCACATTACTAACATCCCTAGTACTAACATTTTTGGATATGGAGCCAGCCCAAATTCACTTATGCTGACGAGTAATGCGCATGTCATAGAAAACCCAACATGGAAACGAGGCTGCTTTAATAACCCTAGTTTGAACCGTTTCTTTAAAGATTTTTTTTCGTAAATTTTTCTCATATTAATACATCAGACTGTTCTTCACTCTGACTGAATGTAAAGTATTGTCACGTGACCTATTTCCTGGAAATTAAAGAAATACACGTAGTGCATGCCCGGGATATCTGTATCAAGCTTGAAAAGGCGTAGTTTTAATTTTTTAAAGATTAAATTGGGTGCTTTTTTGTCAAATGATACGTTTAAATTTTTGACGATGTGGTACGCTATCCTATCGATAATTGAGGCATTTAACTGGCTACGGCAGCGGTATTAGAACCCAGGCTTCTCACATGCGATTTCAAGATGGCGGCCGCCATAGGCACTTGCAGCCATAAAAGGTAAGGCATTTTTAATGTTATCTCCGTTTTTTTGCTTGTATATGCATTAGTAACTGAAGAAATTTTCTACTTATGTACGAAACGAATAAAAAATGCAATTGCAATGTTTTTTTTTTATCATTTTCTTCGTTAGAAACTACTACTCAAGATTTTAAAAATCATGGATTGGAATCTCTGCATTATTTGCCAAAAAAATTCCGTTGAAAAATTACAATGTCCTGCAAACTCAAAGCGTAAAGATGCTGGTGTTGGCTACACTTCATTTGTCAACAATCTCAAAGAATTCCAGAAGCTAGAAATTACCCCTGAATGCTTAAATATGGAATGTCTCGATGAAGGTCTTGGAATAGAGCAGACTCTGTTGAACAAAAAAGCTTCCTGGCACAAGTCTTGTCGAGACCTTTTCAGCAGTACCAAGTTAGAGCGTGCCAAGAAAAGAAAATTATCGGCAATAGCAGAAAAGGGCAGAGAAGATTGTGAACAAATCATAGATGTAAGTACACGTAGTTCCAGCCCAATAAAGGCCAGGCGATCTAGTGGTGCTTCAAGTTGTCTGCCAGAAAACCACTGTTTCTTTTGCGAATCTGCAGATAGCCCAACAAATCTTCATTCTGCTTCCACACTCGAAGTCGACCGAAAGGTCAGAGAATGTGCTCATTTGTTGAATGAATGGAAACTTATTTCGAAGATGTCAATTGGTGATTTGATCGCAATTGAAGCGAAGTACCATGCGAAGTGCTTAGTCAGTCTTTATAATCGAGCGAGGCAATTCAAAGCGCCAACCACTAATCCTGTGCCTGCGAGTTCGCCAACTGGTTTAGATGAACTGGCTTTTACAGAGTTGATTGCCTACATCGACGAACAACTTGAATATGAAGATCTTCCAGTACTCAAGCTTTCCGATATCGTAAAATTTTTCTCATCAAAACTGCAGGAATTTGGGATTGATTCCGGAAAGGTTAATGCTACTAGACTGAAAGAAAGAGTAGCCAGCTTTTCCTGACCTCACAGCACATAACCAAGGACGGGAAGTGCTACTGGCATTTAAACATGAAATCGGGGGAGTGTTAGAGCAAGCCAAGAATGATTCAGAAGCATGTCATCTGGCTAAAGCTGCAAATATTATAAGAAGAGACATTCTACAAATACATAACTTTTTTGACGGTACATTTGCCCCAGATTGTCAAAACGATGCCATCCCGCCTTCCCTTAAAACTTTGATAGGCATGATTATCAAAGGTCCAACTACCAAGACAGACGCGTTGCCTGTGGGCAGTCAGGCATGTCTGACAATTGCTCAGCTTATCATATTCAACAGCATCGCTCGAAGTCGAAATGAGTCTACCGAAAAATCTCGTCATATGAGATCTAGGGAAACCCCACTAAAAATTCATGGAGCAACGAGGGATAAATCTCTTGTAGATTTATTTTACAAGTTAGGGATGTCTATTTCGTACGATCGGCTACTTTCTGTATCTACTGAAATTACTAATAGTGTTATAAAACGGTACGAAAGGGAAGGAGTCGTATGCCCGTCCAAACTTAAAGAGGGACTGTTCACTACTGCAGCAGTTGATAACATCGACCACAATCCAAGCTCAACGAGTTCGCATGATTCATTTCATGGCACCGCAATTTCATTGGTCCAACACCGAACTATGGAAGAACCAGGAATTGATAGACCCATTGACATCATTGACCCAACAAAAAGTTCCGTGTCGAAAAAGATAGCCCAAATACCATCGAGTTACAGTCAAGTACCACCAATGTACCTACGCGCCAGTGACTTTTACGCACCGGAAACTAAGGGACAGCTGACGGTAGATCCTCAAGTGATGCCAAATAGTAGTGAACCCTATGCTGAACAAGATTGGCTGGATAATACTCTGCAACTTCTCTCTAAAGAAAAACTCGAGAAAGATGATTTCTTATCATGGGCGGCATATCGCGCTTCAAAATCCATGTTGTCGAGTCACGAGCCAGCTATCATATCACTGTTACCGATGTTTATAGAGAACGCCCACTCCGTCGCTATGATAGCACATTCCTTGAAAGTGATCAAAGCAGCTGTAAATCAGGTCAATCCTACACAAATCCCAGTTGTTGCAATGGATCAGCCACTGTTTGCTCTCGCCAAACAAATTCAGTGGACGTTCAATGAAATTTTCAATGAAGATCAATTTGTCATCATGCTTGGGGGACTTCACATAGAAATGGCGGCCTTCAAGATGCTTGGAAAGTGGTTGAGTGGTAGCGGATGGGCAGAGGCTCTCTGCAATGCAGGTGTGGCTACACAAGGCGTAGCTAATTCATTCCTTGCAGCAAGTCATCTAACTCGAACGCGACGAGCACATCAAGTTACAGCAGCTGGTCTACACATGCTCTTGGTGAAAGGATACGATGAATACACTCTTAATGGCGAAGAAAATGATCAGCTCAAATCTTTTCATGAATGGAGAGAAGAGATGTCGGAGAAATGTCCGCAGTTTTTGTATTGGTCTGGAGTATTGGAGTTGCAGCTCTGTGTTTTTCAGCTTGTGAGAGCGTTTAGAGAAGCCAACTTTACTATGTACGTCAACGCCATCAAACAGATTTTTACCATGGATGTTTGCAATGGACCATCCCAACTACGCCAGATGGCTATCAGTCCATTATCGAGATATGTGCGAGCTTGAAGTCCAACACCCAGAGGTCTACACACAATTCACAAAAGGTTTTTTTGTAGTTCATAAGACGAGGAGGTCGTTTTCTTCCATAGCGCTGGACCACGCACACGAACAAGTTAATGCCATAGTGAAAGGCGATGGAGGTGCTGTTGGACTCACAGAAAACCCTGCAGCCCTCAGAAGATGGATGGTGGCAGGACCAGAGGTAACAAGAATGGTGGAGGAATTTGAATGCAACGTCTATAATTCTGACTCACACAACCACCATGCAGCGAGAGCGCGTTCGCCAAAGATGTTGAAATGTGATCTGTTCCTTTGAAGAATTAGGCAATCCATTTATGGAACAGGGCGAGGAGCTCATAGCAATTCATACAAAGGACATCATGAGTAACGATGTTGTCAACACCGTGCGCAACGCGAAAAAGCTTGGAACGGAGCAGTTCCAAACCTTCGTAAAAGAGCGGTTTACCGACCGGAGTACGCCAATTACAGAGCCTTTAAAGAAAAATAAACTGCCTACATTCAGCACTCCAAACACTATGGTCATATCCAAAACTAAAGCCAAAGTAGCGGTCTTGAAGGAGGACTGTGCTCTGTTTTCTAGGCTTTACATAGCTTGCCAAAGCCGAGATGGAAATCTGCAGGATTTTTTCAAGTTCGAAAATCAGCCGTGGCCTCCATCACTCTCTCAAGTGGGCAATCTCAGAGGGGGGCAGAAGGCAGATCTGGTGAAGTGCTTACACGACACCACAACACAGACCGTGGAACAACCAGCAGTGGATGCAATCATTGTTGACGGAGCCGTCATTGTCCAGATGTTAAAACCACGAATGGCACAAACATTTGAGGAGTACTTCAACACTGTGTTCGCCCCTTATATCATGAGACAACTTGATGCAGTGAATAGAGTCGATCTAGTGTGGGATGTGTATCGAGAAGACACATTGAAGAGATCTGTTCGGGAAAAGAGAGGCAGTGGACAACGGCGGAAAGTTCTTCCTGGAACGCGAATCCCCTCAGACTGGAAAGGATTTATGCGTGTTGATGACAACAAAGATGAACTTTTCAAGCTTCTTGCTAACATGGTAATGATAATAGTAATGGTAATATATTTAAATATAGTGCTACATGTTATGCAGAAATGAATGTTTAATCCTGTAAAGCCTGTGCTAAAACTTTACTATTTTACTCTGGCTAACACCAGATGATGTTATTCGTCAAATGGATGCTAGAGGGTTAACTAATACGAGTAAAACATATGGGAGCTATAACACAGTACAGAATAATTAATTGAGCAATATTTCAAAATCATCATCATATTAACCATTTTAGGTGGTTTCACTGACGATCCCTGATGGCAAGGAGATCTACACCACACATGGCGAACATGTCCTGTCTTCTGCCAACCGAGTCGAAATGAATACGCTTGAACCCTGCTCCCACGAAGAGGCAGACACTCGCTTAATGGTACATGCCTTGGATGCTACCTTGTGCGGCCATCGTAGAATACAGATCAGAAGCAATGATACCGATGTAGTTGTGTTAGCAATTTCAGTAGCTAGCAGTATTTCCATTGATGAGCTGTGGATCGCGTACGGCATCGGAAAGCATCTACGCTACATTCCTGCACATTCCATAGCCGCGTCGCTAGGTCGAGAGAAAGCGTCAGCACTACCGATGTTTCACTCCATAACTGGATGCGACACAGTATAATTTTTTTGTGGACGAGGAAAGAAGACCGCGTGGAATGTATGGAACGTTTTTCCCGAACTGACACCAATACTCGAAGTGCTGGCAGCATCACCTGAAGACATAAACGAAGAGTGCATGGCAACAATAGAGATGTTTGTGGTTCTGCTCTACGATCGAACAAGCAGTCTTAAAAGTGTAAACGAAGTGAGACAAGAGTTATTCTCAAAGAAGTCAAGAAGTCTGGATAGTATTCCACCCACACGAGCAGCGCTCTTACAACACGCAAGGAGAGCAGTATTTCAAGGTGGATACGTATGGTCTCAGACTCTTGTGAAGAGTCCAGTATTACCATCTCCTGCTGACTGGGGGTGGCAGCGTGACGGCAGTTCCTGGGTGCCATACTGGACGACACTTCCACAAGCGAAGGATACGTGCTACGAACTTATTCGATGCGGTTGTAAAACCGCATGTAGAGGACGTTGCAAGTGCGTGAAAGCCAATTTGACATGCACAGGTTTGTGTAATTGTGGCGGCAATTGTAAATAGAAATTGAGAGCAAATATCGTCTTGGAATGGCTAAAAGGCGAGCCAAAAGCACACTTCTATTTTCTATGAGAACTATTATGGTGAGAAAAAGAGCTAAAGTTTTGAGCATTCATATTACCGAGTTTTATGAATGGTTTTTTGGCTGCTCTTTTAGCCATATCTTGAATATTGTACAGTGGATATCAAACTTGGATATCAAACGTAGGTATCAGTTGTTGTAATTGGCATTAAAGTCAATCGGACATGAACGGATTGCTGACGAGAGACCGTAAGAAAAAATTGTTACGTATAAGTATGTTGTATTATTTTCATGTGACAAATTTGCTTCTTTTTACCGATTTGCCTCTTTTCCATTTGGAACATTTCAGCGCATGCGCAGTGTTAAGCAATATAGTAACTCGTAGTTATTTTTCCCATTGTCTTATATTTTTACTTCGGAATGCTCTTAAAATATTTAAAGCAAAAAATTAAAACTACGCCTTTTCAAGCTTGATACAGATATCCCGGGCATGCACTACGTGTATTTCTTTAATTTCCAGGAAATAGGTCACGTGACAATACTTTATATTCAGTCAGAGTGAAGAACAGGCTGATGTATTAATATGAGAAAAATTTACGAAAAAAAATCTTTAAAGAAACGGTTCAAACTAGGGTTATTAAAGCAGCCTCGTTTCCATGTTGGGTTTTCTATGACATGCGCATTACTCGTCAGCATAAGTGAATTTGGGCTGACTCCATATCCAAAAATGTTAGTACTAGGGATGTTAGTAATGTGGCAAAGTTTCATGCTTTTATCATCAAAGTGAACAATTCAGCATTTTTTTGGTCGTTAACAGCTGGACTAACAGAATTTCCCCGTTTATTATTGCTCGTTGTTGGGAGTAACGTTGAGAAAACTTATATTCTTGAATTAGGATCTCGTTTCAATTATTTTGATCTCTGATCTGTACTGGGTAAATTTACTGGATAAATATTTACCTTTGGAAATTTTGTTAATAAGAGCAACCAACTCGTTTTCCTTTTCAACGTATGACGGTTCCTCAATTTCCATGTAGACATCACGAACTTGTTCCATTGAAATTTTGTCTATACTCGCTATCATATCTGGACGACACCCCCCTGGAAGGTGAGTGGGAAAAGCAGGAATGAAAGTATCGCCAAGAATATAAGGACGTCCACCAAGTCCGTTAATGATGTTAGCGACTTGAGCGAAATGAAACATTTCGTCTACAATAATCTGATGCAACATCGTCTTGACCTCCTGATTCTGGAATGGTTTTATCGAAAGATAACCGTTAAGGTAAATTGGTATTGTGGAATGTTCCAGTTGTAATGCGGTTTGAAGCATGTCGATTAAACGCTGTTTCTTCAAATGCGTTTGATGCGATTGACCAAGCTCGGGCTTGTCGTCATCTAGCCACTTTAAAATCATTTCCGTTTTCGGGGGAGAAAGGTCACGTGTGACAGGCATGAACTGTGGATCGTGAAAGTTTAATGACATAGCTGTGATCACGTGGCATTTTTTCTCGACTACGCTGTCGTAATCAGCCAGGTTAATGAAGCTTCGCATTACAGGAAAGAGGTTGTCATACAGATGAAAGATAGGATAAATATCTGTCAGCCATGTTGGCCGATCGGGTGGGTCAAATTCGTCGTAGACGTGAATGCAAATCGCTGTATTCATTGCTTCGTCTCTATCAGGATTTAATGGGTAGCCATTGTATGTATACTGTAATGCATAAATTTGTCCATCAATAATCTTTCGTATGTTATTTGGATTATTCATCGCGTAGAAATAGTAGTTGTAGATGCCAGGATCATTGGCATCTTGGAATAGCCCAAATGGCTGGTCGGGGCCTTCCGGATGGTCTCTGATGATTGAATCAGCTTTCTCCAGCTTTAAATTAATTGCATTATTTTCCCTTTCCATTGTTGGAGTCTTACCAAATCGGGTGAAAAATAGACTGCCATATATTACTTCATTATATTGCGCCCGAAACACGAAATGGCTCTTTGAACGAACATTAATTCCTTCTTTGTTTTCTGCAAGGAAAATTGTCGTGCAGGCTCCTTTTTCATCAATCTAAAAAGAAGAAGGCGATTAAGCTACTTCTATATGGTACTGCTGATTTAAAATGATAAGATTTACTTTATAGGACGTCTTAAAGGTTTCCAAGCCTTTTTGGTCTTCAAAACATTTGGTTTAGGTAAAATAATTATAATAACAAGAGGCGCGAGAGGCAGTCTTGGGCGGTGGGGACAGAACTTTATGAAAAGAGGCACATTCCTTAACGCAAGGAACAACGTCAATAGCATGCTTTCATTTGAGCAAAGAAATTACAAATCTACAAGAGAATTCGAATGTCTTTCCAATAAACTGATCATGCAGCTTCAATGCATGAAAAATAGTGAATGGATGGCGGCAATATAATATAATATGGTAGTAAAGAGCACAAGACTGCCTTCGCTCGCACAAGTAGGCGAAAGGCTCAGGGAGGCAACTGCCCCGTATGTAGTTCCGGCGTCCCTCATAGCGACAGCTTTATGTCATATTCGTCATGAACAAAAAAATTTTGGCCTGGTAAATTTTTCTGCATAATAATCATGTAGATCCGTGTTCAAAATTTTAACAATGTCAAAATTCCTCGTTCGATCGACTGGTCAACATTTGGGTAAAACAGTGAAAACACGCGGCTTCTCGTAACATTTCGGTCTCAATTTGTCATTCTGGAGTGAAGACAGTGCGGCCACGAGATTATACTTAATACTGGAAATCTTATTCTTGCCTAAACTAAAACAAGCTAAAGAAGTGTGAAATGTCACACAGCTCGTCCACGACGGAACATTTCAACAAGACCCTGCTGTTAACATTTTCCAACAATTTATGGCCCTTTCTCAGTACATAACCCGTGTTTCTTCTCGATCGAACTAAATTATTAACTATTCAATTTAACAGTTACGAATCCTGACATCGGCTATGATTTAAATCAATTTACTGCGATGTTCAAATTCTTCTTAATATTGATTCTTCATGTATCGATTTAGTCCTCTAAGTTTGTTAAGTTGCTCATATGTGTATATTTGTGTCTGTCTATTTGTAAGTAAGTTGTGGAGCCCAGTTCCTAGAGACTTAACTTAATATGTGTGTTGATTCCAGCCATTGTGTATTAATTTTATGTGTAGTTCATTGTAACTGTTTACCATATGGCAAATTTATAAATTAAAAAAAAATAAATGAAGTGCGTCGTATTAGAGAATAGCGTGCTTATTGTATTTATAATGTTAAACGTATGGGAAGAATGTAAGTATTAACCTTTAACCAACGATCTAAAGTTAGATCTAAAATTTTCAAATTCATGCATCCCTACGCAAATCGCATTAAGCATATAATTAAGTTACGTATAAACATTAAAATGTAACAAGGTTGAAATTAACGATCTGGCGTTTGAATGAAACAGCACATGCAAATTGATTGTAATGAGAGGTTTTGAACCCACTAACTTTACAATTTTTATTTCTCCACTAATATATTCAACTTTGATGGGGCAGGCAAAACAAATATCGCATAAAAGCTGAAAAAGTATGAAATCCGTCTCAAATTCACTATAATTAAAGCAGCTCCGAGAACAAATTTCACCCCGTAGATTGCGTAAAACTGAAAAATGCGGAAAGTAAACCTGATAAAATCAAAGAGAGAGGCGTATTGAAAAATATTTTGCTTGCGTTTTAAAAAGCTTAAGCATGTTTTCTGAAAATTTAGAAAAATTCAATTTGGAACATTTTGAAAGATTTCACAGCCTCTATAACTTGCTATTCTAATTTTGTGCGAAAGTCATAATATGAGCTGTTGGAAAAGATGAAGATTAACATTTTATTTTTTTACCTGCATTCAACAAATTTTTTTATTTCTTATATTCCCTCATAGCAATTTTAAAATCTCCTTATGGAGGACAGCCATTTTCAAATATCTAGCTTCGCACAGCATTTTATATAGTACTTTTCACAGGGCTGTCGCTAGAATCCTAATTTGGGAGGGGAGGGCGTTTGTATATTCCTATATTCATGCATGTTCGTACAATAGGAGAAATGATAGATTACAAACGAAATCAGTCGGGCATATGACGAGTATGTGAATATGCGACAGCCCAAAATTAAGCTTCTAGCGACTTCCCTACATGTATACTCACCTTTGCTAACACAAACTGTTTATCAAGCTTCTTTTTCAGTGGTTTTGGAATATCGACTACATTTATCCCAGAAGTGTAAAGATATCCACCATATTCCTTGTAATAAACTCTTGATATCCACGTTATTTTGTCTAAGCAATTTGGTGTGTCAACGCCTGTTCCGTCGCTTCCTGCGAAAACACCCAGAGCCAAGTCCCCTACTGACTTCAAGATGTGTCCATTTCTGCTAATGGCGAGTGTGTTTCCCAAGTCGATATATACCACTGACTCATCCTCGCTAACAGTGAGCGGAGCGTAGCTAAGTTCTCGAGTTGCAGACAAACGGCGTAACAGTCGCCCATGATTAAAAAAATGTGGCGCCTTTTCTCCGGCCAAACCGATTGATCCAACGATTCTAGCGTAGCTATAATTCGAAGCAGGATGCTCTCCCATCAAATCGATATTAAAGCATATAGACAATTGTCTATTTGGTCCAATTTTTTCTTCAAAATGTTGGATAATTTTTGATTCGGGGGTTTTGGAGGTAAATTGGACATTAGTTAGAACACTTTGGAATCTCGATCCTTCGCCAAAATCATCATCACGCTCGTCTATCATTTTGTACCATAACGATTGGAACGAAGCACGTTGCATGTCGCCTTTGAAATATCCTCCCACATCCATTGACATTCCGTATATCTCTGAAACTCTTCCTTGCACTTCTACGTCGAGATCGACGATTTTTGACGAAACTTTTCCGTTCGCTTGGTCTGAAAAGGAAAAAATGGAACATTTGAAACCAATTAATTTTGAATTCATGGAATTTAATTAATAGGGTTAGGGAATTTAATGCAACATGCATACCGCCTTTTAAAAAACCCGAATATCTCTAGCCGTAGTAAAATTTAGGCTCCCTACCAACAATATGAATCTCGCCCATAGTGCACATACAAAAATTATCCAATATGTAATATCCAATATAAATTCTGTATAGACATATAAAGTGATTGTTGTAAGTAATTATTCTACCCTTACCAGTCACAGCAGTCCCAATCAATTGATCATTATGAGGTAGGTACATACATAGATCGTCTTTATGACAAACTCTCATAACCTTAACGTCCACAAGACGGAAATCACTAGATCCGTAAGGATTCCAATTCTCTTGGCTAATCTTTTCGTTGATAGAGGAGAACGTTTTTGTATTAAAGTTGTCGAAAACATTATTTAAAGTCGCCGAATCAATTTGAACCTTTCCTGCAAAGTGGATTCTTGGAAACATTATATAGGAATGGTAATCTAAAGAAAAATTTAAAAAAGACATTTAACCTTTGCTTGCGGAGATAAAAGAGTAAAACTCTAGATATGCAGGTCACTAAAATAATACATCCAAGCATTGTAGTCTTTCAAAAATTAATATGTATATGCATTTATTTACCCATGTGCGTTTTAAGTAATAAAAACACGAAACATATGCATATTGCGTAGCCCAATCAAAAGTTTCCACTTTAGTTTTAGGCGTTGCACGCCGAAACATGTAGCTATGTCTGCAGATTGTACCATCATGCTTCTTCACTTTCGTGCATGTAGTTGTGCACTCTGACATGGCTAATAGATGCTGCTTAGCTATTTAGTTATAATGCAAAGCTTACTACCCTAGTGGTGGAGCCAGTCGGACGATTATGTCCCGCTATCTATAAATTTCGAGTTATTATACTTATTTATGTTTTTAGAAACACATTGTTCCACAGTGAATGAACACTAAAATATTAGAATAGCAGGATAGGTCGTCAGGCTGGTTACGCTACTGGTGGTCGATTAAGCTTGAGTATGTATGCAACGGCAGCGCCGTAGCTAGGCTGCTTAATTGGGGGGGGAGAGGGTGCATATACATATATTCGACGTTTACATACCATAGGAACAAAATAAATCATTCAGTCGGGCATTATGTGAACATGCACCCACCAATTAAGCTTCTAGTTACAGTCCTACATGTATGGTATATTTGCTCTTTTTCACTGACCGTCTTTCTCTGCTTGTACTCTGTTGTAAACACATTCTATCCTCCCATTTGGGTACTTGCGTGCCCTACATTGATATCCTGTCACGATTCCATCTATTAATGAAGTAAAATAAATTAAGACAAACTCATATTTCACAGACACGATGTTTGGAAATTGCATCATCGCTCTGAGTATTCGGCAAGAAGTATAAAACAAAGATTGCCGGAAAGTCAAAACTAGCATTGCACCATATTTTTCACAAAAGTGCCTTATTAATTTTATCGTAGCTAGCAATTCATTTTATATACTCATCGAAACTTTGTCGAAACTAAAAATTGAAAAATGTGACAAACGAATATAAAAAAATCGATGGATGGATGTATATTAAAGAAATAAATAACATTAATTTTATCGATATTTGTTCAGTTATAGGTACACGGTATGACGTAAAAAGTGGCCAAGAGCCGTGGTTTTTTTTATAACAAAATTGAAGAAAATTCCAAATTAAACAGGCAAATTAAGAGGCTAGCTTAAGTCATGTGTTGAAATGTGATTGCCTGACAAAATTACCAAGTGATCACTGATCAATTCGTTAACATTCGTTAACGTCATTCCATACTTTTGTCCTCTTATAGATCACGACTCAATGAAATTGCTTGAATTCCAAAGGTTATTATACTTATAATAATATTACTCTTAACATTCTATTCATACCACTACTTGTGGTCTCAAATTCTTTGGGATCTGTATTAAATAAGAATAATAAAAATGAAATGAGAATGACTCCTTTAGCACTGGATTTGGTCTTTAACCGAATACAATCGTGTTATGTGCGAGCTCTATAGGGTAGGTCACCTAGCATGGCTAGAAATTCAGTATAAAAAATGGCAGCTTGCGAAGAGTTTGGTGTTTTGAAGAATATATTTTTCTTTTTTTAAAAAATATTTAGTATTAGGGGTTTCTTTAATACTTACGTGTTGGGCAATTATACACACTGGGGCATACACTGCCATCATCTAAAAATAAAAATTTTTACCTATTTTTAAGCAATAAACATGCTGTACTGGATTACGCCCCCTCATCTGGCCAGTTTGTTGCAAAAAAATCTAGGCCACTATAAATCCATACTAAAGAACAATTTCATTAACATGAGAGAAGAGCCAGCCCTACCAAGCGAGATCAGATATCGATCATTGACTACCCAATCTCTCGCCTGGGAGTTTGTTTACATTTTCAGGCTGCACCAATTTTCAGTTACCCAATCAGAATCAATAAATATTGACTACCTCCGGTAAAAAGGTAGGGAGCCTACATTATTTATCGTTTTACATAAGACATTTTAGACATTCTGATTGGTTCAGCCGGAAAAATGTAAACAAATGGCTGATTGGTTTAAAACGAAATTTTTCCTTAGTAAGATGAGCAGCAAATCAAAATGTTTGTTGTCAAAGCCGAAAACATTTTTGACGGTGCAGTAATCATTTATCGGCTCGGCTCCAACAAGTATTTATTTACCCGGCATCTCCGCATTTATTCTGTCACATTCCTTGATGCAATCTAAAGAAAGAAAGATAACATATAGGATTCTGAAAATAAAATTTAAAAAAATACAGGCAGGAAGAATTATTTCAAAACATTTCAAAGTTGTAACATAGCAATAGGCGTCATCTCGTGCTCTTATTTTAACCAATCAACGCTCAGGAGGGTTATCAAAATAGAAATTCATAAATTTTGCAGTATAATTGATTTTATAATTTATTTAAAAGAATCCTCAGGCACTGATTGGCTAATAGCCATAAGTGAAACCGTCATGTCCAACGTGTGACGTCATAACGTGCGATACAAGTTTTTACATGTATGCTATTACGTACGTCAACGTGTGATAAATGTCGTATCCCACGTTTGACGTCACATCAATGGCGAAGATATCAACGTCTTAATAAATAATAAAACAATTATTGAATTCGGTTTCGACATGATATGAAGAATTATCAAGCCTCAGTTTGTGGTTATCGACCTTCGGTTTCGGATAATTCTACTTAAGTCGTTTGAAGACGCTGCCCTGGTTCGATTAATATTGATAATTCTTCATAAAAAATTATCATGTTCAACCTCATTAAATAATTTTTAAATATCTTTTATTATTCTTCATGAAACTAGACGAAATTTTCCAACTATATTTTGCTACATGTAACTCTGCCACCGAAATATTTTTTTTAGCTACAAATTTTGAAATCAGCAGCGGGGGGAATCCTAGAATTTCCTGCAATTTGATTGGCTGTCCGGTTTTCATTGTCTATTTTTTTCCATGTATACTGCCGAGTCCGACTAAACAATTATAATAAGAACGAATTACGCCGCCTTTGGGAAAAAAACAATAAATACACCTCTTTGGGCCTTGTGCTGATTTGGGACCTCGGGAAATATTTTCTTATACGGAAATCGCAGCCGATAAAATCATATATAAATAGTTTAAGAGTCATTTGAAAGTTGATTCAACTGAGGAATGCATTGTTATTCCACAACAATCCCAGTCCTTTTCAGCGGGCATTGTGACAGAACAAAGCGGAATCCAAATTAAGTTGTCCAAATTAAATTGTCCAAATGTCGTGGACGATCGATGTTGGACGGTTTTGTTACTCATGCACATGCGCGAAATCTAAACGAGTAAAGGCTGGTAATTTTACCTTCTTTTCCACAAGCTTCTTTACAACTTTTCAATTTTTTTTCTATAAAAAACCCGGTATGATTCAACATCATAATAACATTTGCATAGCTAGATGAATTACTGCTGAAGCGCTGAGCAATGACTACCAACATAGGAAACCTAAAGATGCATTGTTGCGGTGAAAATACTTCATATTATACAGATGTTTCTTGTTATTAGCAGAGAGACTATTTTTATATGCAGCAAAAATATCCAAGCTGACAGGAAATGAATCTGAAAAACGTGTCATGCAGAAAAAGTGACGTAGAAAGTTATTAGCTCCCATTTGATTTAGTTTCCTACCTTATCATGTTTCTGACGGGCCAATTTTTACGGTTATACAAAGACAGAATCATAGCGCAACTCGAAGTATTTAATTGTCATTGTGGAACTTATTTTAAACTAACCTGTACACTTGTCCACAATGCTTTTGCATTGGTTAAAGTTCGCTAAAAAAAAGAGAGACATATCTAATAAACTTACTATTAAGAATTATGTGATCATTAAGAATAATGATTGGTCGACCAGCAACCTCGGATTATAAAGCGATAATAACCTAAGCGGATTTTTCAAACTGGCAGGGAATAGTTGATTTTGTCAAAGGGACAGATGAGGAAAAACAGTAATTTTAAAGGAAATGCCGTACCTAAAATTTCGAAAAGACCGGAAAAATTGGCCTAAAATTATTATTTAAAACGCCACGATGAAGAACGTGCATTTATCTATGTTCGTAAAAATATTTTTTCTACACAAACAATTTAACATTTCTGATTGTAAGGTAAACCAAAAAATATGCTGGGTATTCATATGTTAGCGTTTAACATTATTGATTTATTTTTAATTATCCAGTGAAGATGATCATCGATACATCGATGATTATTGCTTACATGTTCCTGGCTTGCAACTTTTACAAAATTGATCTAGGGAGAAAAATAACAAAATACGTCTTTGAGTTCGTTGTGTTTTCTAAAGGCAGCATTTAATGACACGTATATAATACTCCAATGAATGGCAAATCGCTTTAAATGAAGTGAAAAAGAGAGTCAATTAAAAATATTGATTCATTAACTTTACCCAGTCGATCACAATTTGCTTCACACATTGAAGCTGTAGAAAAATAAGGAAATATCTATTAGCTTGTGAGAAATGCAAGTAAATAAAGGGACAGGTTCACTCTAGTTATTTGTTTCCAGGAAATAGTCTATTAGAAGACGGATTAGGAGCTTTAGAATGCAGGTTGGGCAAGTTGGTCGGCAACGATGATTACAATTGAATGGTCGAGTGATATTTACGAACTTGCGCACGCCTTATGCGCGACATTAACACGTGCGATTGCGCGTTGTGCGGATACAAAAATATTAATTTCTTTACCAACCTTTCTTTTTACAACAACCGATGCAATTTGCTAAATACCCAGAAAAAAAAGTGAAAAAAATTATACCAATGCATGAAATCCAAATGGCATTTATCGGTGCATTTGTGGTGAAATCAAAACAAAGGGACCGATCACAATATAATGGCGCCCTGAGGGGCTGGGTGGTGTTTTCGAGGGAAGGGTTATCAGAGGGAGGCTATTAGATGGATATCACTAGTGACGTCACGTGAGGGAAGGTGAGATTCTGCTGATTAAAAAGTTGGTGAAATATTAGACCGGTGGAAGAAAGGAGTGGGTCGTTTAGCGTTACATAAATTATGAGGCAATATATGGAAAAATATTGAAAATCGTTAAACATAAGAGCTACCGAAGGGTCACAAATAGACCAAAAGAGCGTCACGTCTTTGTGAATGACCCGAGAGGTAAAAGTATTTGAGGTGATCTACGACAGCCATTTTATCCTTATCGTTATCAATGCAAAAGTCCTCACCAGTATTTGCTATACATTTCTTGCAACCAGCTACACGTAAATATAAAAAGATCATTAGCAAATTACTTATACATTTTAGACATTTTATGTGATATGCCCTATAATGTCACCCAGCTATAGTAGCTAATTCCTGTCAAGAAGATTCTGTACATTGGACACGTATTAATTATATTTATATTTCAAAATGACCAATAAAATTTAAAATAGTTAGGCTTACCCCTCTCATTAATTGATTGCACAACTGGGCAGAAAAAACTCTTTTCGGGAGGTTGAACAATTTTGTTCTCTTATAAAAAAAGAAGAGTGAAATACTTTTGCAATTTCTTCACAAATACAAGTAGCTATTAGTCACCGTAAAATACAAGCTTTAAACGGAGGACATCTTCCTCGCGTAATTACCATATTTTATAGCGCCAGTCTGACGATTTGTTTCGGCTATTCAAGTCGTAAGATATTATAATCAGTATTTTTTTCATGATTATGGAAAATCATAAATTTGAGAGTCAATAAATACCAAAGCAACTCAAAATACCTTAAAAACAACCCTATTGGGTACTTATTTCTAAAGAATACTTTTACATAAAAATCCAGCAATACGATTGCAAGTTAGAGCTGTGGTAATTTATTTTGACCTACCCTGGGGATGTTTAGTTGCCTAGTTTCATGGGCAATAAGCAATTAGACAACATTTAAAAAAATAGAGTAACTACAATGAGCTCCTGGTCCACCAGATTGGCAGAAACACGTCGTTCAAGTGGCTTTGATTGCATGATTGATGTGCGCTTATAACACACCAATCTTTTAACACACATGAATTTCCTTTCACAATAGCCTAAAATTCTTCCAAAACTCTTCCAAAATTTTAAAACAGAGAAAAATTCGCAATTACCTTCGTATTCGCAATTTAATCCCGTAAAGCCATCTACACAACTACACGCTACTTTTTCTTTTTCCCTCTTGACGCAGCTTCCGCCATTCATGCACGTGACGCCTTCACAATTCGCAACTACAACAAATATTTGAAAAATGAGAAATGCAGATCGATGTTAAGAAAATTAAAAAATGTTAGTTTTAACATCTTTAGAAGCGGTCGACAAAAAGTTTTCCAGAAAAACTATTTATAGGGTGGGTATCACAGCAAAACACACATTAAACCGCATGTTTTCAGTTTACACTCATGTTAACTTTCTTACAGTTTTCATAGCACATATATATGGTTTGCAATTTTTCTCGCAATACGCTCACTTTTTTACATTCCATATATAGGATGAAATTGATGCATGCAAGGTCATTGTCTGCGCGCGTTAAATTTATAACTATTTATACCGCATATGTTAAACACTACCGATCTTCTGTGCATGAATCATCTACGATTTGATTATTTATACCGGTATCTTCACAATTTTCCCCAGTATATCCAGGTCGGCAATAGCATTTTTCCTTTTTATTTTCGTCCAGAGAATAGAATTGATGATATTGATTGCACTCTTTCGCTAAACAGTTTAAGAACAGATCCTTGTCGGTTACATGCAGTTATATAAGATAGGAAATTAGACGACATTAGTTAAAAAGTCCCATGAAATGTATCATTTACAGATTTGTTTAATTTGCTATAATTGTTTTTTTTTCGTCTTACCAATAAAGTCGGTGTTAATATCTTTACCGCATGGAAACTCTAAGATAAAAAATAAAAGTGCATGTAGTGTTTATACTAAACATACATGACTATTCAGTAGTTACCTTGTTACGTAACTTTTTACTTTCAGACAAGGTTGTACTTATTGCATATATAAAGGCTACTTTTCATAACTTCGATGTGGTCAACCGTACTTCGTCTGGAATTCTTTTATTTGGACAATATAGGGTGTCTCAAAAAAAAGAAAACTATTCAAATCACCCATAACAATGTAATTGTTAGAGTTTGAATGCCTAAGCAGTCTGTTGGGATGATATCACAATGAACACTTATTGTTCCGCGGTCAGCTGTACCATTTTCTTTCGAAGCAGTAACAAGGCTAATTTAAATTTAATCATATTCACAATTTCCAATTGTTCGTATTTAGCATTTTATAAGTTGCATTTAATACCCACGGGCTAAAATTCGTGAACACGGCATTCAAATTTTACCAATTAGTAAATTCAATAGTTTTCGGTTTTTTGAGACACCCTGTACAGCCCTACCTAATTTGGCGATGCACACCAAATTAAGCAAGTTATTTTCGCAGGGGGTTTGCCCTCAAAAAGAGATTTGGATTATTAGTATATGTATGCAGCGGTGTTTCAACCCCGTATTCTTATTGATTGTGTTTTTATTTGCATTGGCCGTTGGGATTGCTACGTTTTGCTTGCGTTTGTCATACAAATCAAGAGGCACATTACCTATTATTTCGCATCGTACTCCAGAGTATCCCGCTTGACAAGAACAACTGTATGAATCATCCACAGTTTTACATAAACCACCATTCTCGCAAGGATTGTCGGAACAGGTCACTATGTGCATGTGGTGATAAAAAAATTATTCATAGAATGATAATTTTTCAAGCAATATAAAATTTAAACGCAAAAATAAAATTTCATTAATTTTTTTTCAAATATGTAATAGACCTAGATCACTGACTTACACCAAGCGAATGCGTGAAGCAGCAAATATCCAAGATGGCCGCCAAAATAAGTATTGATTGTTATACCGAATATTAATGAGGTTTCTTGTGGTTCCTTCGCACTATTTCGAAACTGTGGGATCCTTTGTGAGATCCTTTCGCAGTGGGAAAGAGATCCTTTGCGTGCATTTGTTATTAGTTAGTTATTATTGTCAGATATACTCTTTTATGTAATAAAGATATGCAGTATACTGAGTAACAGGTGGACGAAAATCCACTCAATAAACACTTAATAAATAAGATGCATTACACAGTGTATCCTGCAAAAAACCTGGGATTGACTAATTGACCATTTCACACATATGATGTACACATGTATCAAAAGTCAATTCCACGACATTTCATAATTTCCCCTAAATTCACCCAATCATCAATTTACTTAAATATAGGTTAAACATCTTCGCTATACGTTTCCCTTTCCTACAAAACCTGACCGGAATTTGGAAATAAAACAACTGGAAGAACCGAAAAAAAATCATTAATTTTATAGTTTATTTCATCCTAGCTGAATGGCGGTCATCTTGGATTTGCTACCACAGGCAGGGTCACGCTTACGCTTGGAGTCATTGATCTAGGTACGAGTCATCGATGTTTCGCCATTCCTCACAATGTGAATTGGTAATAATCAGACGCATTCGCCAAAACGAAGTTCCTATACAGCCATTATGCTCCCTATACAGCTCTTATATGCTCCCTATACAGCTCTTATGATCCCTATACAGCTCTTATGCTCTCTATACAGCTCTTATGATCTCCGCTCCTTTTATGTTAATTAAAACTTCGGTGCACGAGAATCTCTGCATTACCACAGCAAGTGATCTAGAACTATAAGAGAATTTAGGAAGTTACCTTTATGTTCGCAATATTCTCCTGAATAATAGTCTCCACAAGAACATTTTACTTTCGAGCCATCCATACTACATTTTCCTGGTTTACAAGGATTGTTGGTGCAGTTTTGAACTAAAGAAACAGGCTGACATTTACTCGTACTTGAGAAGTACCTAACCAGGCTTTACAGGGTGTGTTTACACAAGTTATCTGACTAACGGGACTTATGCATACACGCAACATATCGACCGGTGAATGTTCACATCAAAGACTCGAATTTACGTTTTTTGTCATTGAAATTAGCTTCGAGCACACTTGAGTCAGTGAAAATGTGTTTAAACTGCCAAACTGACCTAATACCGTGTTTTCAGGCCACCTCTAATGCTTGGCCCGAAAACCCCGAAACATGGTCTTACGCCGGTCCTAGGTCTGTCTTAAGTCAGTCCCAATGCGTTTACGCTACAGGACTAACTGCTTAAGTTAGGTCTTAGGTCAGGTATAGGGCTCTAGTGTAAACACTGCTTTTGACGAGAAGGCATCCATTTCCGGTGCATTAGAAAAGCAAAATGAATCTTGCCCAAGCCAGCCCAAGAAAATTAGTTATGCTTTGCTAATATTTTGGTGTTGATGATTGTGAAAACAGTTCATTTCTAAGGAAATGAATAATGATAGTAACCTAAAATGTGCATGGCGGAAGAAATCGTTGGATACGCCACTCGAAGTCGGATATGTTTAGTTACCAAACGTTTATAACGTTTCTAATCACATATAATTGGTAGAAAAAAAACCCACTAAATTGGGATACGAAATATTTGAAAAAACGAAAATTGTACATGCATGTAAATATCAAAACATGAGCCCTCACATATTAAATTGTAGTAAATTCTTAAGAAAAATTGCTTAATAACATTTTAAATTTCGTTCATGAAATTAATTGCGGTACTTAATAATAATAATAATACCATGTATCTCGCAGGATTCCCCTTTATATCCATCATCGCATATACACAGAACTCTTTGACTTGGATCCGATGTGCATAAACCATGACCAGAGCAAATGCCAGGGTTGTTAAAACATTTATCTAAGTAAAAGTTATAGTAAATATTTCGACAAAAATGGAATCTGAATCTTTCGGTGATTACATTTCTTCTGTGTGATGGTCGACGTTTTAAATTCCTTGATATAACAAATATTTCAAAACTTCTACTTCCGTTTAACATGTTGCAGATAAAAAGTGTTCATTGGACCTTTTGCATTATAGACAAACTTACAACGAAGGTAACAAGGAGGAAATAAATCACTACAAGGAAAAAGAGCATACCAAAATTAGTATAATCGCCAAGATTGGCTGCAAAATGTCAAGTAGTGTGGCAAATATAGCCATGCGAAGTTTGTATACTTTTTTACTACGGCCGCGGAAGACGGGAAGAGTGTAACAAATTAGTTACAAGCTTCCTGTCGTACGCGTAGTAAAAAAGGACACAAAATTTCAAAGGCCAGTTGTATCAAGCCCGTTTAGTTTGCTTTCTATTTTGAACTTATCCACCGTTTAAGCTAAACGGGCTTGATACAACCGGCCCCAGCACTTTACGATATTTTGCAACCAAACTTGCCCATTTTACTAATTGTATTCCTTTTTGTCGCCAAAAGTAGTACGCAAAATATAGCCATGCGAAGTGTGTATACTTTTTTACTACGGCCGGAAGAGTGTAACAAATTAGTTACAAGCTTTCTGTCGTACGCGTAGTAAAAAAGGACACAAAATTTCAGCACTTTACAATATTTTGCAGCGAAACTTGACCATTTTACTAAGTTTAGTATGCTCCTTTCGGAAATTCCCTTTTTGTTGCCAAAATCAAAAGTTGGTCTATTATGCAAAAGGTCCATTCGAAATTCCGAAACCAGCATGCAATTGACTAAAATTAATGGATGAAAAGGGACTTCTCCCTCCGCCTAATGATAAAAATTACCAAATAGCTATGAATGTTTTAGCTTCTGGACATATGATATCAAAATTAAATTGACGTTCTGCAATTTTTTCGACTTTTTTTGTTAATTCAATATGTTCAAAGATATAGCCAATTTTCGCAAATTCGAAAATTTTGGCAACTGATATAATGTTCACCAAATAATTTTTTTATAGATCTCAATTCGTATACCTTTATCACCGCACGCTGGTCCGATGAAGCCAGGCTTGCATTCACACGTGTAACCTCCTGTATCGGGGTCTGAATTGCACGTTCCTCCGTTCTGGCAGGCTCTGCTCAAGCAGGGATCTAAATTTGTAATACATCAGTTCGTGTCAAATGTTGTTATAACAAAATGGTTAATTTGCAGTCAAGCTCCGCTTAGTCCAAAAAAAAAATATATATATATATATTATTATTATTATTATTATTTTGGACTAAGCGTAAGAATTGTTTACATTTTTCCAGTTAAGCCAATCAGAATTCCTACGTACAATTTTTTCAACTTAAGTAAAATGGTAAAAAACGTATAGCTGAGATATATTTGATTCTCCCTCGCAACTAGCTTTGGCTCTGGGCTTAATAGAAGGATTTAGCGAAAGTAAATTGTAATCATCAAAAGAAAGTGACGCATGCGCACGAGAAGGTATAGACACAATCTAATGCAAACAATGTAATCTTTCGGAAAGAAGACAATGCATCTATGAATAGCGGTTACGAAATAAAATCTTCGGTTTCGTATACCCTATAAACTAGAGGTTTTAAGATTGTTTGACGCATGCAATTAAAACTTCTGTACAGTCATATATCAACAATTCATGAAACATCAGTGCGGTTTCGTAGATCTTTTAGGTTTACCGTCCATTCTAACAAAGCCTATATTGTGTCCATTTAACTGTGATTCACCGAAGATTTGAAAAACAATATCGAACGATTGGATGGCAAATTTTATATGCTTATAATTACTAATTTTCTTTCTCGTGCTGTCCAACACTTGAAATGTTTTGACAGTAAATAAAAGGCATTACCTTTAAATTCGCAAAAATAACCAATAAATTTCGTTTTTGTGCAGTCACACCGATACATTCCAGCATCCCCGACTTGTATACATTCTCCTTTATGCTGACATGGCGTTGAAACGCATGGACCTAGGTAAATGTAAATACTGTACAAAAGGTATGAAACATTAGAAACAATGCCTGGCAAAACACAATATTATGCATTAGATGGTACGACCTGGAACGATGTTGTGCATCGTGCCATATTTTTGGTGATAATTTGAAGGTTTGTAAATTATTTAGACCATGCGTTACTATATGCAGCTGTGGCAGGACACAGGAGCAAAATTATATGACGTTTTTGTTGTAGAGCCGATGATATTTTGTTTCCTTGTCCTTTCGCGTTCCATATTTCCTTCAAATTTTACTTTTTCAGTATCTGCCTTCTTTGAAAATCTCATTAATTATTTAAAAAGGTTAAAAAAAATTCGCACGCAGAACAACAACTAGATGAGTTACTGAAGTGTTCATTTAAATACATAAGTTCTTTGAAAGATTGCATGGCGATATATAATTTTGGACCTTTGTTTCTAGAAACCCTACGTGAATTTAGTTATTAATGCTCGCGAATTGCATTTTGTACATTTCGAAACAAGTTGCATACCTGGGAATTCACATTCTTTACCAAGTGTATCTTTCGGACACACACATTTGTAACCATCGCTTGTTCCTTCTTCACGTTTACATTTTTTGGGCCCAGGTTTACAGGGGTTTGAAGAGCACGGATCTTTACACGTTTTGAAAGAAATAATTTGAATTAAATAATACTGCTATGGATAACTCTCAATTGTTCTTTTAAACATACCTATGCAAGTACCGCCATTTTCATGAGACTGGGAGCATTTGGGCTTTTCGGCTGTGGTACGTTCGCCTACGAAATTCAAAAATAAATACCGCGTCATTGACGGTCCTAGAGATTGTTTCAGAGGTCTTATTTGCCGACAGGTTCATTCTGGAATCATCAGAATCTCCTGTGGCTTTACCAGTAAAGATACCTGGAGTTATATCAAGGTCACTAAACAGTTTTTAACACTAAACAGTTTTTTTCATTAAACTTTAAAATGGCTAAGTAAGTGCCAAGAGCTACTGTTTCCGGTTCAACATAAGTGGACTTAGGACATCTGTCCAAGATAAGCCTGTTTAAGCATTCATTAACATTCTGTGTTAATCCGTGAGTACATTTGCTTAAAAGTTCAGTCTTGCTAAGATCTTGATAAATTGGCTTGATCATGTCAACAATTCAGCTGGGGATTCCATTTTTATGCTTATATAGGGATATAAGGAAGGAAACAACAGCTGGTGTGCATAGAAAAAAACAAAGAGGGCTTCGCCTTTTTTGTATCCACACCAGCTGTTGTTTCCTTCAGGGCAGAGATGATGCTGTGGATTCTCAGCAGTTGAAGCGACATCGTAAAGTGATGCTTCAATTGCCTTTGCCATTAAGGAAACATCATCAAGGTTTTCTCTAACTGCCAGGCCAGAACATCGATTTTGCTGTCTGTGAGCCTGCCTTTACCTGCCAAACCTTTGCCATCTGCCAAATTTTAATCCTTTTTTTGGAAGATTTAAGTTTTCGAAGACGACCTCCAACCCTCTTTTGAACATGCCCAATGCATTCCAATTTATTGGGAATGCAATCTTCTCCATATGGTTGACTTTCAACCATGGTGTCATATGTTGCTGAATCACCATCTCCTAGTACACTAACATACTTAAAACCCGTTGTTTCCAGTGACCGTTCAAAAATCCGAACAGCACCAGTTGTCTCCATACAACCAGCACTTCCCTTATGATTTACCTGACAGATGTGGGATGCCTCCCATTCATTGAACCTTTGATCATGTGTCTTATTTTACCAGTTTTGATATCACTTATCGTCTGACAATACCTCCACATCTAAGCATTTTTTGTGTCCAAGGATATAACAGTTTAACACCATTGTGGGAAAAATAGTCTCTTTTCTGCCAAGTACTGTCAATTGATACTCCACATTCTCTATCATTTTCCTTCTCATTTCTTACTCACAAACATTGCTGACCATGCTATCAGTTGCTAATTTCTTTACAACTGGCATAACCTTTTCATTTTGTATCTTTCTGAAGACACGGCGTGTTGGTGGGGCAGGCATATTCATCATCTTATTTGCCCCCTTATTGAATGTCCCCTTAGTCATAGCACTATGACCTTTGCCAATTTCCCTGAAAGCCAGGACAATTCTTACATTCATTTCGTAGGAACGCCTGACATTTTTTTTGAGATATTGAATGAATACTTCCAATCACACTCCATATTCTTACATTCTAGCACAATGTAATTAGAATAACCACATTTCTTTTTCATGTCAACTATGTCACACTCACAATCAGGGCATTTCATAACGTGGTCAAATACGTTAAATAATATGGATAAGTCAATGAAAATAGTTCCTTTTTTTGAAGTATTATAAATGTTGCTTGACAAACCATGGATTAATTCAGTATTCAGTTGGCTAAATTGTCGCGCAGAAGGTTCAGGATCTTTATAGCTTGGTTCGCCATCTTGGGTGTCAGCAATTCATTTCCTTGACGGTGGAATCTTTGATTTTTTTCTCGCTCTGTTTCTCGAATTCCCCATCTATTTACTCCGAAATAGAATCAAAATAACAGACGGAATGTAATTCTAAACATTAACAACAACGTTTGGACTTATTAACGCAAAAAACCCGACCAATTTCCCTGTCGATCAACCACGAATATGGAAATTCAGCGCGTTGCTATCCCAACAAAAACGAACCAATCACAAAGAGATTTACCAGCATGTTTTAAATAACATACTTCAAAAGTTGAATTGAAAGAAAGCTGTTTGGAAATAAAATATTGAAGCAAATTTGGAAGGAAAACACGTTCCTTTGGCGTTGCAAGGGGAAAAATATTAAAGTAATGACTCCGAAAACCTTATTTACTCGTAAATACACATTTTCACCGGCAAACAAACCATCTTATCTTGAAGTATAATACTTAAAGTATCTAAATATATAAAAATAAGAAAATTGATTTTTTTTCAAAAAATTACGTTTTGAAAGGGAATGACTATCAGATAAAAAAAAACACCTCTGTAGTAAAGAAGTAGTCATAAAGTAGTAAACCGGCATGAAGAAGCTAAAGCGAACGATGCAAAAGCAAAAACAAAAGGAAGAAAATACGCAAATGAAAGAAGACATGCAAAATCATCGGCACTAAAAGTGGGGGACAAAGTCATGATTAAACAAAGAAAGAGAAACAAGTTCACAACAAATTTCGAACTGGAACCATACATAATAATCAAATAACAGCTGAAAATGGGAGGCACGTAGTCACAAGGAATGCATCCTTTTTTAAACAGATAAAGGGTGATGCGAGAGAATCAGATGATAATAGCGAGGACCTCGACGAACGAGAAGCAACAACAACAGGATTGAACAACGGAGAGCAAACAACTACACTGCATGCGAAGATCGACCAGAAACAGCATACAGGGTTATATATTGTGAACAGTAAAAGTAATTAAGGTTGATATTGGACCTGAATTGCATTAACCTTTTAAAGAAAAGGAGGGATGAAGTATCGTAGACACGCGTCCTGATTGACAGTCGGACGAGGTGGCTAAATATAGAAGGAAGGAAAATAAGTATTGTATTAGGGGGAGCGCATGAACAAGAGAATGTATATGTTTCAAAATTCAACAGACGACATGTTTTTATATTTGTGATAACTTCGCTTAAAGCCCGCTTGCGGGCTGGCCACTATTAAACTTTGATGTTTGTCGGATGTCGGATGATCACCTAGCATGCACGCCAGTTACATGATGACCACTAGCGCGCACGCCAGTTACATATGATGATCACTAGCGTGCACGCCTGAGGATTTTATGCCACCATATTTGGCACTTAGGAATTTGCACTTTGCACTGCATGGCCGGAATGCAGTTCTGAGCAATTTTTGAATTTAAAGGTAAGTTCTTATTGGTATCCTGAACACTGATAAAATGGGTACGGGTACAAATTTGTGCCCTGCCCTAGCCGTAGCAGAAATCCCTTGAAGGCCCTAGTATCTTTCTTGATGAAAAATCTCTTGAAAGCCCTAGCATTAACAGTGCCTTTAGCGCAAGGCGCATAGTACCCCTCCAAAGGTGCTCGTCCATCCGTCCTGCTTTTCTTTAAGGGTAAGGGTTTATCATTTTTACAATACGGTGAACGTAAGGAAAATTATGAAATTGCAACACATAAAGCCGAATTATAATTGTCATTGATCTTATTTAAACTTAAACAAACAACGGTAACCAATAATTCAAGAAAATAGCAAATACAGTGTGTTACGGAATTTTATTTGGAAATACGTATTTTAAATATAAAAAAAGTATTTTAAATAAAATCAAGCGTGAGTGCATGCATGTGTGCTTTCAAATTTCAAGATGCGATTAGATATAAATAAAGCAAAAAACTTCCGTTTTTACGTTAATTTAATCCGGATACTCAAGTCACAAGACTTTAAAGTTTAAACTTAGGAACATAGAATAAAATTTGCATAATGTATAATTTGCCGTAGTTGTATTATATGTACATTTCCTGTATTAATATTGACCGGACCGATATAAGGGTGCACAGTTTAACATAATCATATTAGTGCTTACATGAAAATGAAAATCATATGTTCAATGTTCATATATTATATGGTTGCTAACCTCTAACAAACGTGGGCATAGGTGTACAGGTCTAAAAATTTTGGGGGCATGGGGTTGTTGAGCAAAAATTATCCGAGTCGCGAGTACAAATTGCCCAACTTACTCTGAATTTAGGGCGGGTGGAATTCTTCTCATGGTCAAATCTTTAATATTCTATTCCAACAACGCTATGTTAGTATATGAATTCGCAATTTGCCTGTCGAAGCGTGTGGCGTCAAGTTCTAGTTTCCGCTGCAAGTTTAGAGTTCCTGCCGCGGGATTGCTCGAAAGAACTATGGAGTGAGTATCCCCAACAAGATATGCTGTATGTAAACACTTTAGTTTGAATTTTTTCACACATATAAGCCGTGTATTGTGGTTGCAACAAATGATGTTGTTTAAGGTTCAGAAAATAGTCGTCGTCGCCACGTTACGTCTTGTTAGGCACCTTAATTAATTACGATATACTTTTCCTGTTTATAAAACTTTATATAAATTATTTAGTAGCAATACAGTTACGTTAGACCATGTTTGTTCGAACGTTATCTTATTACCAGTGCAAATTAAAGCAATGTAATCTCATATAATGCACATATTTCGTCCGAGTTATTTAAGGCAAGACTACAAAAGCGGTGTATTTCAACCACTTTTCTGTTATCAACAAGCAGCAATCCGACCTTAATTAATAATGTCAAATTCTTAACTCGTGAGTCGTTACGACTCGCGTTTATAAATGTAAATGTGTTTAGGCTTCACAATCTTCGACGTATTATTCTATCCAGAACTTTTTCTTTAATACTCAATAAATGAAACATGGGCATGAATGCGAGTTTCTACATTATATCCGCAATCATGTAGAATTGGTTGCATGTTTCTGGTCCAGCGTTTATTGTTAAGTCATTATATATAGTTAATAGTAATTTGATCCGATTCTAAAATAGACCATATTGTGAAACAATAATCAGAAATTTGTGAAATTAATGTGACATATATCAGAGATATATCATAATTCTCGAAGAAAATGCAAACAAAGTTGACGGCGTTTACCCT